TTGATAAACAAGGTTCGGATGTCTGACCATCAAATGTCCTACTGTTTGACGGACAATGCTCAGATGTCTGATCGTCAGATGTCTTACTGTTTGATGGACAAGGCTTGGATGTCTGACCATCAAATGTCCTACTGTATGACGGACAAGGCTCAGATGTCTGACCGTAAATCGTCCTACTGTTTGACGGACAATGCTCAGATGTCTGACCATCAGATGTCTTACTGTTTGATGGACAAGGCTCAGATGTCTGACCATCAAATGTCCTACTGTTTGACGGACAAGGCTCAGATGTCTGACCGTAAATTGTCCTACTGTTTGACGGACAATGCTTAGATGTCTGACCATCAAATGTCCTACTGTTTGACGGACAAGGCTCAGATGTCTGACCGTAAATTGTCCTTCTGTTTGACAGAAAAGTTCAAATGTCTGCCACCACTGGCCCAACTCTTCAGAGGGTCGGGAATAAATGGAGAAGCCATGTCTGGTGCATACTCTTCCTATACTGTTGTGCTAAATGTCATATTACAACAATGTTAAAGATGAAGAGGATGTACCTATTTGTGTGGTCATCAAAGTCCAGGAGATGCAGTCTGCTCCATGTTGATATCCAGAGGGTGCAGCCCATGATCAGTAGGGATCAACATACAGACATGTGCAGCACATTGACAATTACTTGGGTGTGCCCAGGACCATGTGTCAGCTCTGCATTTATGGAATGGGGATGGTGGGGAATGCCTATGATCTGCCTCTCCTTTCCACTGAAGGCTGGCAAGTTTACATGTGGTAGACACCTGTAGATAAAGGGACAAAGATGACACTACACAGACAAGGATACACCATGTCCTCACAAAACCAACTGGGAAGCCTAACCCAGTGAACAACTGTCCGCTGAAGTCAGATATGTCAGCCGAAAGTCATCAATATTGCAGCTATGCTGTAAACAGCCACCACACCACCAGTCACCCGAACCAATGATGATGTAGTAGTAGTACTATTATCTCCTGTCTTCTCATCTACTTCCATTGAACTCGTTCGTCTATTTAGTATAGTTTGCAATATTCTATATAATTGTAAATTTATATCACATCTAGATATAATGTGCTGTAGAAACCACAGCTGCAATGAAACACTTGGTAATGATGTATACAAGTTCAAACCTTATAAATTAACAAGGCAGCTGAGTGTCACAACAAAACCTTTATTAGCATGGAAAATGTACACTAACTAGTATATGTTTAGAAAAAAAAAGACAATACTGTTCACATGTTTACATTCAAATATATGATTGTCTGAAGCAGCTTTTGTTTTTAATAATGATTAGGAATACAAAAAGTAATGGAAATATTTGTATATTTTATTGTACATTTTTTATTTAACAAGCTAAATTTGGTGTTTATTTTAATTTCTTTATTAAGGATATGCTATGGCAGTCACTCAAGGCCTAGAAGCAAGGTCCATAGTTGACTGATGACATTTATCGATGACTGTTCCAGAAAAATGGATAGTATCAATAAATCTCTGGATCTAATTAATTTAGTAAAGATCTCTCATCATACACTCAGTGGTCTTCAAAACCCACTGATGTTATATTTTGGAAAAGCTTTTTTTTTTTTTAATATAAGCCGGGGCTCTTGAGATTACTGGGGAAAAAACAAAGGACATGATTTCACAGGTATTGCCTAATGGAAAAGATGGGATTTCCAATAAATACTGACCATACAAAAATTCTGTATGTGAGGATAAGCAAAAGTGGTGTGGTATAAAACAGAGAGTTGCACAGTATTCCAAATGCCTCTTGATCTTTAAAAAAAAAAAAAAACACTAAAAATATGACGTGGAATGTTAGAGAAAACATTTAAAAACAACAACATGATCCTTTTCAGATCAGAAGAATAGAAACACCTGAACGTTGATATGCTAAAGACATATACTACTATCAACAACTTAAACTGGAATCAGGAACCTAACAATATCAATGCAGCAGCAAATTAATTACAAAACTGTTATCCTGATGCAAACAGGAACAAAATTATTAACATTTTTTTACTCCTGCACTTTATCCTTTATTGCAGGACAGATCCTACACCAGTCCATTCTATATTTATATATAAAGGATCCACCATACAAGGTCTGACAATTAAGTAATGAGACTAATTCCATAAAAATTAAAAAAATCAACTGTTGAAGATATAACCTGAATCTGATTATAAATGGTCTCTCTATTAACACCAGATTCATCTGCCATCATCCTCACAGTAAAACAATGATCTTCTTGTATCCATTCTCTGACTTTTGCAATAAGTTCATCATTACAAACATAAATTTAGCATCCAGGTCTAGGTGCACTAGTAGTCATTTCCACACCACTTTTGAATTGTGAGTACCACCTGAAAATCTTTGCACAAGATGAACAATTATCCCCATAAACTTGTTGCATCAATTCAACTGTTTCAGTGGTGCTTTTCTCCCCCGTGTGGGTTCCGGGGCCCCATTTTAGGGGAAAACAAGAATAGACCCACTGCCTACCCAAAAGCATGTCGTAAGAGTCGACTAATTGGGGAGCTTCCTTTGAAGTCGGAGTGCATCTGCCGGAGAGGCAAGGAACCAACAGTCTGTATTCAAGAGAATGAGATTTGTAAAACTGATGCACACGCAACACTCATGTTCTGGAGCAGGACTGCAGTTCAGTAGTGGACGAACAACCAGAACTTTCCGCCAGAGTGTACAGCTGGTGAACGTGAAGAAGAAGAAGAAGTGGTGCTTTTTCTGAGTTTTAAAAATAATTTAATGTTAGCTTTTTGCTCAGTGCTGATTATGTAACAGTTCACCTCTGACTAAGTCTACAAAATTGTTTTCTGCTTATCTAGCAGCAATGAGAAGTTGCCAGATCACAGATGAATGTTGCATCTTTAGATTCCATGCTTTGCTTCATAGATAGCATTTTTGTCTTGGCCATTAAAAAATCAGTCTCATTAATTGTCAGACCTTGTATATCTCATAATGTCAGAAGACAGCCTACTCCTTCAGCTAACAACTCCTTCAATAAAAATATTTAAGATTATGTACTGAGAGTATTTTGTTTCTTAGCTGTATAACATTGCAAACATGATCTTATGATCAAATACAGTAATGACTTGAGCTCCATTAAAATGAGCTAAAAATAATTACACAAATAAACAATTTAATAGCTGAATGTGAGAATAATAATTCACTGTAAATCACACAACACATTCCTTGAAAATACTGTTTCTTGGACTCAGCTTAAGACAATATTATTCCCCCCCCCCCCCTCCCCCAATACATAATTTGCAAATGTTTTGATTAAAGTGTAAATTTACAAATGAGTGCAAAAACTAATACCACCTCTCCTCATCATTTTTTTTTTTAACTTGCTAAGTTGTGCTGGTTTTCATGGTAGGCAGTGTAAGCATATATCATATAAATACTACTGGGCTGTCTCTTGTATATCCCAGATGGTTCTAAACCACTTGGTGGCAAACATGTTTGACAAGCTGGCTGTTGTGAGGGCTCTTAGGGAGTGATTGAACAGTGCAGAGGCAGAGATAAATCATTACGGTGTGGAGAGAATGGTGCTGCGAGGAGTTACAAGGGGATCTGGCCAGTGCTCAATACTCAGGGGAAAGGCCGGATGGACATAGACTCAGACAGTTACAGGTGCCATTGGATTTGGAACTCTTTAACTGCTGCTGAAGATGGGGACGCAGCTCTTACGGGGGTGTCCTGAGTGCTGTAATGGCAATTCTTAATTCATTGTTCAACAATGTACACCCCAGAATTGCCCGCATGGCTTCATTTTGTATGCATTTGTAAGCATTCCAAGTCCATAATCTATTACCGATAAGATCACAAGCTGAAATATTGTGAATAGCATTCTTTGTTCTATGACCATTGCTGCCATATTGGGGCAGATAGGCTCAAAGTTCAAGCAAAGTCATATCTCAGAGTAGCTACAGACAAGAAGCACCTCCTGTATGAAGCCCTAGGTGAAACTAAGGGTCACAGACTGAATTGAGGAAGGTCTTGGATGGTGGAGGCTGAAGACACCATTGGACATGTGTGCAGGCTTGATAAATGTGAGCCAGAAGAGGAGTGGGTCAAAGTGTCCGAGCAAGAATCAGATTTGTGTAAGGTTCTAAACACTTGAGGTCATGAGTGCAGGGACTGGACAGCTGGTGCTGCAGAATCAGAAGTTTAACAAATGATTCATAATTCCTGACCAGGTGATGTGATTATCTTTAAAGAGAGGCAGATGAAGAGCAAAAGCGAATGGATGCCTGGCTTATAATATCTCTGTCTACTTTGAGAATAGAGTTGGAGGCAGTCACTGCTGCCTTCCGATGGCTTGAGATCAGGATCCTCACCAGTATTATGGAGTTTGTGCACTGCGCTGAGATTCTTAGGAATTGGGCTTGGATTAAAAGTAGAACGGAGCACTTATGGATTACTACCCTTGTGCCATGATGTTGATCGGTTGTTTAAATTTCACCTAAGCAAACATCACTTCATAGGTCCCAGCATCCTTTGGATATTTTCTCCAAGTCCTATGCCGGTGTGTTGCGAAATGAAGAGGCAGACAGACCAGCCGGTTCTTCACCACTTGGTGGTGAACTGATGTGTGACAAACTAAATGTTGTAAGGGCCCTTTGAGAGTGAGCAAACAGTGCAGAGGCACAAACAGAACATTACAGTCTGGGGAGAATGCGCTGCGAGGAGTTACCAGGGGATCTGGCTGACACTCAGCACTCAAGGTAAAGGCAAGACAGATATAACAGTCAAACAGTTACTGGTACTATCAGAACTGGAATTTTTTGTTTGCTGCTGAATGGGGACGGAGCACTTATAGGAGTGTCCTGAGTGCTGATATTTCGATTCTTAATTCACGATTCATAATAGGCAATTGTAGAGTGTTTTATTAATACTTTCACATAAATGCAATATTTTTACAACAAATTTAATATCAACATGAGAAAATTTCATGTCTATAGTTTTAAAAACAATGTTACAAATGCAAAAATAAAAACAATAAATGCAGAAGGATTTCTGGCTGGACCATCACTCAGAATGTCTGTTGTTTCTGTGTTGATTTGAATCTGACCATCTGAAAGGGGAACAAATTTAGTCAGGCCAGATCAGAGCAATCATAAATTAATTTGTACACATTAATTCTTACTGAATGACTGACCATAGTGGCTAATGATAGTGCTCGCAGCAGAAAACATTCTTGTGTCATAGAGCAGCTTTGAATTCTTGGTAATGCCCAATTTTTTTTAAAAACTTTTATGAACACCTGGCCTGTTACAATAAGTCTATGACAGTAGAAAACATGCTAGGAAAATATAGCTCTAAAGGTTTTTTTTTTTTAAACTGTGTGAGGATATGGGAACCTAACACTTGTCTTTGTTGTACTATAGCAGTGTACAATGGCTCTCTCATGGTAATGTTTTATCATGCACCTTTGAATTGTGACAATGAATTTGCATTTTCTTTAAAGAAGAAGGATACAGAGATGCAAACTATTTTCCATATGCCGATTTTTTGTAATAAGACTGGCATATTTATGTAACATTTTTGAAAAGCTGAATTATCTTAATTGCTCTGCATGGAAAAAATATGGACCTTTTGAAATCCAGCGAAAAAATATCAGCTTTAAAAAAAAAAAATCAAATTATGGAAAAGAAAATTCAATAAAGATGCAGGCAAAGATTGTTTTCCAATATTACAGCAAATTTTGACATCAAATGAACTCGATCTTTCTTGAGATATAAAATCCATGCTTGGGGAGCATTTATCACAGCTAATGATCTGGTTTGAGAAATATTTTCAAAATGAAATAAGTTTGCATCGAATCAAGATACATTTAACGCTAGTGCTCCCTCTCAATTTACTTTGAAAGCAAAATTTGACAGCATGGAAATGACAGAATTTTGGATTTCAATAAAAGATGACTATTCCCTTCTAAGTGATAAGGCTCAGTAGATTTTAACTCCATTTTCGACGTCGTATTTGTGCAAAGCTGGGTTTTCGGCGGTCGCTGTAATAAAAAGCAAGCATAGAGCAAAAATCAATGTGGAGAAGGAAATAAGGGTGGCCGTGTCAAGTTTGATTCCATGATTCGAGAAAATGTGCAGTGATTTACAGGCTCATTCATCACATTGTCCTCCTCTAGCATACCAAGTCCCTCAGGTTCACTGCTGTAGATGTCAACCACCTGCTGCAGATGTCAACCACCTGCTGCAGATGTCAACCACCTACAGCAGATGTCAACCACCTGCTGCAGATGTCAACCACCTACAGCAGATGTCAACCACCTGCTGCAGATGTCAACCACCTACAGCAGATGTCAACCACCTGCTGCAGATGTCAACCACCTACAGCAGATGTCAACCACCTGCTGCAGATGTCAACCACCTACAGCAGATGTCAACCACCTGCTGCTGTCAACCACTTGCTGCAGATGTCAACCACCTGCTGCAGATGTCAACCACCTGCTGCAGATGTCAACCACCTGCTGCAGATGTCAACCACCTGCTGCAGATGTCAACCACCTGCATTCATCTGTCATTGCTTTTCTTTCCATCGGGTGACTCTAAGTGTTTATTATATCTTTCTATTGTCTTTTTGGTCTGCCTTAATTATATCTTTCTATTGTCTTTTTGGTCTGCCTTAATTATATCTTTATATTGTCTTTTTGGTCTATCTTAATTATATCTTTCTATTGTCTTTTTTAGCAAAATTCTTTTACGAATTATCATGAAAAGGATTGAAAGGAAACTACAATATGAGCTAGATGAAGCACAAGCGGGTTTCAGACAGGGTAGGGGAACTAGGGATCACATCTTTAACATGAGAATAATTTTTGAAAAATGCAGAGAATACAACAAAGATCTTCATGCTTGTTTTATTGATTATAGCAAGGCATTTGATTGTGTCCAGCACCACAAATTGTGGACTATTATGAAAAGTATGGGGTTTCCAGCTCATTTAGTGCATTTAATTGAAAATCTTTATCATGAACAACAAGCAGCCATCAGAGCAGCTGGTGAAATATCTGATTGGTTCGAGGTGCAAAAGGGGGTGAGGCAGGGGTGCATTCTCTCACCATACTTATTCAATATATATTCAGAAAATATAATGAGAAATGTCAAAAATGACCAGACTTGTGACAGTTATGATCCGCTCAAAATTGGTGGCAACCCTATTCCGGAACTCCGCTACGCAGATGACACAGTCCTCCTTTCGAACAGCGTAAAGGGAATCGAAAATTTAATATTGTCTGTCCAAAAGCACAGTGAAGATCAAAATCTGTTCTTGAATTTAAAGAAAACGAAAATAATGTCTACAGATAAAACTGGCTGTCACCCAAAAATAACAATAAATAATGAAGAAATTGAAAATGTCACAAACTTTGAATATCTAGGATCTATAATAAACAGCAATTCAGATTGTTCAACAGAAATTAAAAGGAGGATGGCCTTGGCAATGCAAAGATTGAACAGCCTTAAAAGTCTATGATTAAGCACCAGCAAGGAGATAAAAATTAGAATTTTGAGAGCATGCATCTTCCCTGTAGCTACATACGGATGTGAGTCATGGACTATCTCTCAGTCCTTAAGAAAGAGAATAGGGGCTTTTGAGCTGAAATGCTATAGAAAGATTATCAGAATATCTTGGACAAAAAAGAGGAGAAATATTGACATCTTAAAAGATATGAACATCAAGGAAGACTGGCTAATAAACAGCATCCTTTCTCGGAAGCTGAAATATTTTGGTCATATCAAGCGCCACGACGGATTGGAAAAAACTATAGCAGAAGGCATGGTACCAGGAAGGAGGGGCAGGGGCCGACCGACACGAAGATGGGCACAGGATATAAGTGACTCCTTGAGTATGAAAGTATATGAGGCAGGAGAACTGGCAAGAGACTAAGTTTCTTTCAGGCAGACTGTGATGAGAGCGACGTTCTGCAAAGGACCTGCTACATGATGATGATGATGATTGTCTTTTTGGTCTATCTTAATTATATCTTTCTATTGTATTTTTGGACTGCCTTAATTATATCTTTCTATTGTCTTTTTGGTCTGCCTTACTTGTATCTTTCTATTGTCTTTGTGGTCTGCCTTAATAAAATCTTTCTATTGTCTTTGTGGTCTGCCTTAATTATATCTTTCTATTGTCTTTTTGGTCTGCCTTAATTATATCTTTCTATAGTCTTTTTGGACTGCCTTAATTATATCTTTCTATTGTCTTTTTGGTCTGCCTTACTTGTATCTTTCTATTGTCTTTGTGGTCTGCCTTAATTATATCTTTCTATTGTCTTTGTGGTCTGCCTTAATTATATCTTTCTATTGTCTTTTTGGTCTGCCTTAATTATATCTTTCTATTGTCTTTTTGATCTGCCTTGTGGTCTACTCCCATTCAACTCTTTTGTGGATGCAGTTTTTTTATCCTTCCATTCATCACTGTATATTAGCTCTCCTGATGCTAGTAATGAGTGGTGATTTAAACAGACCACGCATTTTGTTGTTACTTTTCACTCTCCATTCTCTGCTGCTTGCATCTTTGATGGGTCAGAAGATTTGCTGTAAAACACTGTTCTCAACAGTTTGTAGTAAGGCTCTGCTGCTTTAAACAATTTTGCCAGTGTTGAACATGAATAATTAAAATCAATATGTTTTTACAACACCTCTGAACACAAGTGAAAAGAATAAAGATACAAATAACAGCTGAATACTTTACTGAAAATATTAGATCATATGCAGTGGTGGTAGCAATTTAATTACAGAAATGTCCATCCTGGAAAAAAAATTAGGGTATAGTTTTTTTTTAAGTTAAATGTTTTTATCACTATATATGAAAATATAATAAAATATATTACCTCCTACAGTGAAATAAACAGTTGGAGAACTCCGCTTTCCTTGTCCACCTTTACTGTAACCATACACTCTCAGTTCATACAATTCACTGGAGCTCAAGTTGCGAATCACCCCTGTACTTGTCTTACCAAAATCAACCTCTCTAGCACTTAAAATGTTCTCATTTGATTTCCAATACTGCACCTGTTAAAAATTAATAACAACATTAAAACTATACAATGCTCATGCATGTTTTTGTTTCTCACCAAAAAAAAAACCACATTAGAACATCCATTTTGGATCATATACAAGCTTGTTTAATCATTATAACTTCATCAACTTCCTTTTTTGATGTTAAGTGTCGAGGGAAGGACGGTCTGCAGTCTAGCATCTGATGGGAAGCACTGGCAACTGTCATTCGATGAGAAGGCATTTCAACCAACACCACTTGAGTGCCAAGATGTCAGTTTGTCAAGATTTATTTTTTGGATCGATAGATGGGTTTCAAACTCTCCGAGCTGCTATCTAAAGGTTTAAAATACAATCCAGCAGACCAGCGAGGTAGATCCCATCACCTCATTCAGGTTTAAAAACAAAAAATAAAACATTATAATTAGGGCACCTGTAATGGCTACACCAACAGGGTGCAACCTGCAGTACTATATGGGTAAGGAAATAGCCGTATGGGCAGTGGTCACTCCCCCCGAAGGTGTCTCCGCCTTGCTGGGAGGGGGGGGGGGGGTGCTGTGTTTCTCAACGATCCTGAGAATTATACTGGCTGTTGTGTAGCTACCAGCAGGGCCTCCCGAGCCAGAAAGGTCAAAGGGTAGAGAACCGAAAAAGAGACACTGAGTCGTCCTGGTAATCCTGGTTGGAGTCTGAAGCGTAGAGCCGACACCCTCACCTTCATTAAACTTCATTTCAACATGAAACAGATACCTAAGCCTCCATTTCAGCTGGAACGTTATAGTACTTCTGAGAGTAGGAACATGGAATGTACACACCCTTTTTGAGCTGGAGCCGCTTAAGAACTGACCCGTGAGTTATCAGAATACAGAATTACATAGCAGCATTTCAAGAAACAAGGTGGCCAGGACAAGGTACCACAGGGAAAAATGAAATGATCATAGTATACCCAAAAAAAACACTCAAAAGAGTCATGAACTAGGGACAGGATTTGTCATCATGAAAAACTTCTGTGGGTATTATACATTTTAAGTTGTTTATGACAAGATCATTAAGTTACGAATAAAAATAAAATGGAGAAATATCACGGAGATTAATGAGCATGCACCCACTGAAGATAAAGAAGATGATATTAGATAAGATTAATAAGAGCTTGAGAATATCACAGATGAAACTCAAAAACAGGACGTATAGATTCTTAGGAGATTTCAATGCAAAAACACCAATAAAAATTTAGCAGGCATGGAAAACATACATACAAATTCAAACATAATGAATGGATATTAATCAGCTTCGTAGTAGCCAAAGGACTACAAAAAAGCAGCACCAGATTTAAAAAAAAAATGTACATTAACAAACTTGGCAATCATGTGACAAGAAAACTTATAATCAAACAGATCACATTTTGATAAATAACAAGAAATGCATCAAACATAACAGATCAAATTTGGATAAATAACAAGAAATGCATCAAACATATAAGTTAGAATGCTTAACTAACAACGATTGTTTGAAAGAAGTGAATGAAAGTAGATTTCTATATACAACAATAAGAGGGTGACAAACACTGTTTTTTGGCCACGTAATGAGAAGAGAGGTATTTGAAAACATCGTAACAACTAAAACAAAACAAAAATCAGTGGAAAGAGGTTTAGGGGCAGACAAAGAGAGATGATGCTGGATGGGCTGAAATGATGGCATGGAGGGATATCATTAAGAGAGCTGTTCCAAGCAGCCAGGGATCATGATCTGTGAAGATGTGTGAGCACCTACACTTAGCAGCACATGATGATGATGAATGTTACGTTTACTTTGATGTTGTTAATCAGAATATTTGAGTATGAAGAGAAACTTGGCCTCAAAAGCACAATGTGGGAAGCCATGAAGGACCTGCAACTGACACGGAAATTCATACAGGCAGCACACCTGACGGTCTGACCTGAGCATATGGAACCGATACAAAAGAGGAAAACGAATATTTGAGCAGCAATATTTAACTTCATTAAACATATAACTTAATAGTGAATTTACAGACCTTGTAACCCTTCAAAGGTTCTTCTCTGATTTGTGTACTAATGCCTCTAAAGTTGACACGAACACCAAAACCTTCTATGGAATACACATGAACCTCAGTTGGGTACTGGCTGGGAACTAGGGAAAAAATACATTTGAAGATTTTAAATGGATATAATTATTATAAAAAATATTTATAACAACTACTTTAAATCACATGGTAAATATGGTTCTAAATATCTGATGATTTTAAGTAAAGAAAATAATACTATGGTGATAAACACACACAAACCAAATGTTTACAGAGTGTAGAGAAAGGTGATAAACAAACACAAACCAAATGTTTACAGCGTATAGCGAAAGCTTTTCTCTTTGATTTAAATTAATACTCTAGTTAACTAATTAACTGAAGCGCATTAAATAAGAAGGTGTCTTAGTAAAGATTTCTGCTTTAGAAAATGTCCCTTTTGTATTATGTCATCAACTATCTCAAGCCAAGTCATTTTATATTTATTCAGGATTCAGCTCGGTGTGTGAAGATTAGATCTGTTAAGCACTTAGGAACTTTCTCACCTACAGAGGCAAAGACACATCACTTGGAACATTCTCAAAAACTCTCTCACCTACAGTGGCAAAGACACATCACTTGGAACATTCTCAAAAACTCTCTCACCTACAGTGGCAAAGACACATCACTTGGAACATTCTCAAAAACTCTCTCACCTACAGAGGCAAAGACACATCACTTGGAACATTCTCAAAAACTCTCTCACCTACAGAGGCAAAGACACATCACTTGGAACATTCTCAAAAACTCTCTCACCTACAGTGGCAAAGACACATCACTTGGAACATTCTCAAGAACTCTCTCACCTACAGTGGCAAAGACACATCACTTGGAACATTCTCAAAAACTGTCTCACCTACAGTGGCAAAGACACATCACTTGGAACATTCTCAAAAACTCTCTCACCTACAGTAGAAAGGACACATTACTTGGAACATTCTCAAAAACTCTCTCACCTACAGTGGCAAAGACACATCACTTGGAACATTCTCAAAAACTCTCTCACCTACAGTGGCAAAGACACATCACTTGGAACATTCTCAAAAACTCTCTCACCTACAGGGACAAAGACACATCACTTGGAACATTCTCAAAAACTCTCTCACCTACAGTGGCAAAGACACATCACTTGGAACATTCTCAAAAACTTTCTCACCTACAGAGACAAAGACACATCACTTGGAACATTCTCAAAAACTCTCTCACCTACAGAGACAGTGACACATCACTTGGAACATTCTCAAAAACTCTCTCACCTACAGAGACAAAGACACATTACTTGGAACATTCTCAAGAACTCTCTCACCTACAGAGACAGTGACACATCACTTGGAACATTCTCAAGAACTCTCTCACCTACAGAGGCAAAGACACATCACTTGGAACATTCTCAAAAACTCTCTCACCTACAGAGGCAAAGACACATCACTTGGAACATTCTCAAGAACTCTCTCACCTACAGTGGCAAAGACACATCACTTGGAACATTCTCAAAAACTCTCTCACCTACAGTGGCAAAGACACATCACTTGGAACATTCTCAAAAACTTTCTCACCTACAGAGACAAAGACACATCACTTGGAACATTCTCAAGAACTCTCTCACCTACAGAGACAAAAACACATCACTTGGAACATTCTCAAGAACTCTCTCACCTACAGTGGCAAAGACACATCACTTGGAACATTCTCAAAAACTCTCTCACCTACAGTGGCAAAGACACATTACTTGGAACATTCTCAAAAACTCTCTCACCTACAGTGGCAAAGACACATCACTTGGAACATTCTCAAAAACTCTCTCACCTACAGAGGCAAAGACACATCACTTGGAACATTCTCAAGAACTCTCTCACCTACAGAGACAAAAACACATCACTTGGAACATTCTCAAAAACTCTCTCACCTACAGGAACAAAGACACATCACTTGGAACATTCTCAAGAACTCTCTCACCTACAGTGGCAAAGACACATCACTTGGAACATTCTCAAAAACTCTCTCACCTACAGAGACAAAGACACATCACTTGGAACATTCTCAAAAACTCTCTCACCTACAGTGGCAAAGACACATCACTTGGAACATTCTTAAAAACTTTCTCACCTACAGAGACAAAGACACATCACTTAGAACATTCTCAAAAACTCTTTCACCTACAGTGGCAAAGACACATTACTTGGAACATTCTTAAAAACTTTCTCACCTACAGAGACAAAGACACATCACTTGGAACATTCTCAAAAACTCTCTCACCTACAGTGGCAAAGACACATCACTTGGAACATTCTCAAGAACTCTCTCACCTACAGTGGCAAAGACACATCACTTGGAACATTCTCAAGAACTCTCTCACCTACAGAGACAAAGACACATCACTTGGAATATTCTCAAAAACTCTCTCACCTACAGAGGCAAAGACACATCACTTGGAACATTCTCAAAAACTCTCTCACCTACAGTGGCAAAGACACATCACTTGGAACAGTCTTCACCTCGTAAATGGCTGCTTTCACTTCAGATAGTCTACAACTAACGAATTTATTTCTCCCATCTGCTGTTTTCAATGTAAACATACATTTGAACACATTCACATGCATCACACTAATCTAATTAACTTTCATGGTGCATTTTATGCATTTTTCTGCTGTTCAGAGACCTTTGTTTTCACTGTGTACAGTTATATCAATCATTTTCTATAACTACATTTCATATGTTATTTTTATCATTCTTTATTTTTCTGTGAATTTATTTTGGTGCAAACCTTTTGTCATGGCTATCAAATTTAAAACATTTTTTTTTTTAAAGCGCTGTCACACCAAAAGTGCCAGTTTTTTTTAAAAACTTTTATCAGGTTTTTTTAAAACTTGTATGAGTTTTTGATGATAAAGCTTTAGGTAGGGATCGCTATGCCCCTGTAGCAGTAATGGTAATTACTGCAACTGCACAGTGTGTATGTACAAATGGTGGGTACGACTATATTTACAATTTAAAAAAAAAAAATTTATCATCATTATTAATTTCCATTTCTGCTTTTGAGCATTGTGGAGAAGAACAGTTTGTGATCCATTGCGCGATGGGCAGCAATGGTTACTGTCATTTTGTGCCGATGAAGAAGCTCTTTAATGCTATCAATCCATGCTCACCTAGAGTGACCTCTTGCTTTGACTTTAGATCTTTTCATGTGTGGCGCCTGCATTGGTAGTTGCCCTTTCTGCATTCTTACTAGATGACCAAACCATTTGATCTTCCGTTTCTCAATTAATTTGCTGAATAGTGTTATTCCTAGTCTGATATTATCATTTCTACCTTCATCTTGGATGTATAATTTAGTGGCTCTTCTCAGATATCTAATTTCACAGGTGGTAATAAATGCACTGGCTTGTTGGCATCTTGTTTCTATTTCCCGATCTCTTCTTCCGTCCTCAGAGGATAACCTTCCAAGATGTTTTAATTCTTTAAATTGCTTCAGACAAGTACCAATCAACTCTTCATACAGCGGACTAGGAATTCTACTGACAGCCTTACTGCAATTTTAGCAGTACTTTCTTTCATGGTATATCTTCTGCATGTTGAACTTTGTTCAAATGGTCTTGCAGTCTACTCCTCTCATGTCTGTCTGTCTGTCTGTCTGTCTGTCTGTCTGTATGTATGTATGTATGTATGTATGTTTACATGTGAGTGTAAATGTGTGGTTGTGGGTGTCTGTACATGTGATTGTATGTGTGTGTATGCATGCATGCATGTGTAGGTGTGTATGTATGGAATGTGTATATGCATATATGTCCATATATGTATGTGTGTGTGTCTTTTCTGTTTGTGTATATATGTAGATGCGTTTATGTATGTGTTATTAGGTGTGTCTGTATATGAGTGTGCATGTATGAGAATGTGAGAGTATATGTGTGTGTGTGAGTGTGTACGATTGTGTACACATGATGTGTGTATGCATTATTCTATAATGTATATTTCTTTATTATATCCATAACATGCATTATTGATAACAGACATTGGTACTCTGAAAAATTAGTGCTTAGAAGGGCCCAATGTCAGACGGGCCTGCATGCCCAATTTGTAACCCTTTGAAAACAAAGATTGTTTGTTCGTTCGTTCTCACTGTGGAACAGGTACTGATCATCTGCAAATACTAGCTCATTAATTGTCTGTGGATCTAATTCTTCCCCCAGAAAGTCAAATTCTCGTTTATTGTCTGTGGATCTAATTCTTCCCCCAGAAAGTCAAATTCTCATTTATTGTCTGTGGATCTAATTCTTTCCCCAGAAAGTCAAATTTTCGTTTATTGTCTGTGGATCTAATTTTTCCCTCAGAAAGACCAATTCTCGTTTATTGTCTGTGGATCTAATTCTTCCCCCAGAAAGACCAATTCTCGTTTATTTTCTGTGGATCTAATTCTTCCCCCAGAAAGACCAATTCTCGTTTATTTTCTGTGGATCTAATTCTTCCCCCAGAAAGACCAATTCTTGTTTATTGTCTGTGGATCTAATTCTTCCCCCAGAAAGACAAATTCCCAGATTTTCTTGATTTTCTTTGTTGACTGCTTTAACTCTTTGAAGCCCAAGCTACGGTGTGAGCATTATTTGTGAAGTTTCGTTTTGCCTAAACAACACTGCCATTGTAAATCTTATATCTCGTACATTTTGCTTCGCACACGTACTTGTTTCAAATTTTCGGAAGTACGATTCAACTATTCAGGGAAGAGTTCATTCTGCCGAAATCCTTTTATTTACATTCATTATCTAAGTCACATGTGTATAATTTAAATGGATTCGCAGCGGAATTTTTTTTCAACAATGCATTTTCCTAAGTTTGTTTTTGACAGCCATGAATACCAATGTTTCAACCACAAGTACAGGTCACAGAATGGGTCTTTCTGCGGCCGAAGCTCTGAAATTGTTTCGGTCTGATGTTTTTAATTCGGATAATGATAATAAAAACTTAGATTTTCGGAAAGTGATTCGGACAGTGAATTTTTATCAGCGAAGTTGAGCAATCAGCTGTTAGGAATCTAGTGATTCTGAGTTTACACAGACAATGTCCCATAGCTACCTTATTTATGGTGTAAGAAAAGGAAAGTGCTCCAAGCAAAGAGACAGTACTATACTACGTCTAAGATACACTGAAATCATTGCAGCTACATTCTGTATATAACTGTACAAAGTAAATAGTAAATAGTGTGTGTTATGGCCCATTTTTCTGCCATTTTTTCTGCAAGGGGCACACTACTGACTGACACCTGTATTACCTCCTTCAGTTCCAGAAGGTCACAGCAAATAGAAAAAGGTCTGCAGCGTAAAACAACATGTAAAACTTTTGCTGGTGTCAAATATATAAACCTTGAACTTAGAACAACTGCCAACAGATTTTTACAGTAAGCTTTTACGAAACATAAGTACAACTAGATGTGTCACGTTTACTGGTGCATATGAAGAGTCATAGTGAGTGAACCAAACCTAGCGTGTAGCTTTTCAAATTAAAAATTTTGGGTGAATAAATGCATTTTATACATACCCCGGTTCAGAGTCTGTTGTTCATAGTCTGAACTCTTAGGACCATTGCCGGCTGAATTGTACACTTGGACATTAAATTTATACCATGTAACTGGTTCCAAGCCTATTATGAGACCTCGGTCCAGGTTATTTTGACCTGGTTTAAGTTCAATAATATTTTGTAAGGCCTGAGCTTCAGTCTCCCTTTGACTGCGCCAGTAATTTATCTGGGGTAATAAAATAAAAAATACAAATTAAAATCTGTAACACCTGTGGATAATATGAAATATGAATAAGTCTTTTAGAACTGAAAAAAAAAAAAACAAACAGTTCAACTGTCACTATTATATAACTGCACTATGGCAACACAAAGTGGGCAAACCATCTCATTTGCTTTCATTTTTTCGCCGGAACAGGTCCAGCTCTGACCAGATAGACACACTATGCCTAATAATCTCACAAAATACTGGACTGAACTGTAGTAATAAGTCAATATCATACTTAATAAACACTGATGAATTTTACCCAAACAGATCAGTAATTCAGGGACAAAGAACTGCACGAATATTCAGTCAGCTCAAGGCAAACAACCAGTCAAGATGTGTGGCTCCATCGCTGTTACTACAAATCAACCTTACAATGGAGACTAGGGCTGTAACAAGGACACTGATATGATAGGCTACCCGAATAGTTCACACATGTGGGCACATCGAGTGACTCTTAGTATATGGATATGCTAAAGAAAGGATATGCTGAAGAAAATTCAAGCTGGTTACGTTAAATAAGAATGGGTTGTCTCGCTAAGCACACCACGAATCGTCAGTCTAAGCTATATCTTTGTGCTAGGTTATGTGGGTGTTCAAGGCCATAAGCATGCAGATCATATGGCGGCCACTACAGTCACTATGGCTGGTTTAGTACAAGATAGAAAAAAATTACATCAAAGCCAAGGATTATGTATATCATAAAGAAATGCATAGCAAAAAGCATGACTACCCATCCTTATCAAGACTGGTGGACACAGGTGGTGCAGCTTGGAGCTGCTAGACATGAGCATTTATTTCACTGAGAGCACAAGATATTCAACACAGAACCTGTGTTATCAGTTATGCTATGCTTGTAGGGCTATTGCATACAAAGCACCTATGGTTCTGTCTGGAGTTCTGTGATGACAAGTTTTCACCAGGGGCACTGGAATCTGGGAGCTTAGACCCATTGAGGGCTCCCTTAACTATGTAGTTCCCCCCAACAAGCATTTGTTTTAATCAATCAATCCATCTTCATTGTGCCCAGAGGCAGATAATGCAGAGACAAACTGTTGTCACTCAGTTAGATTCTAAGCCATCCTCTCTATCTCCAGTTTTGCAGTTTGCGTAGCCTTGAGTTCTGCCTCAAAGGTTTGCATCTGGGTCTGCCTCTTCCTAGCTATCCTTGTGGTAACCACTGCACTGCCAATCTCGGTCGTCTCTCTCTCTCTCTTCATTCTGAGGATGTGTCCAAGCCACCTGCAACTTCATTTGTTGATTTCTAAATTTACATCTTCTAAGTCTGTCATTTGTTGCAATCTGCAATTGCTGATTTCATCTTCCCATGTGAACCTCAACAATCTGCTGAGAAGTCTTCCCTCAAAACCTCTAAGCTTGCTTTCCATCTTTCTTTCTGTTTTCCAAGTTTCCATTCCATAGAGGAGAACTGTTCTAACGCACGTTTTGCATATCATGAGTTTAGTTTTAGTGCTGTAGATGTTTGATCTCCAGACATTATAAATGTCTCTGTAAAAGCATTTGCCTTTGCAATTCTTTGCTTGATTTCAACCACCTTTCCATCCGAGGAGATATTCCTTACCAGGTAAGTGAAGTCAGTTACTGTTTCCAAACCTACATTATCTCCCCCTCAGGGGGACTAAGTAGTTTTGAGGTATGGTGTCCGCCTCGAGTGCTGGAGTCCCCGGTTCAAACTCCAGTGAAGGCTGGGATTTTTGTCACATGGACTTCTAGTAATTTCCCCTGGTCTCTGGGTAGTAAGACCGGACGCCTGTGTGTATTGTTGTGCACGTAAAAAATCCCTTGGCAGTTGAAAATCGAAAAAGAGTAGCCTAATGGTGCTGCCTGGGCAAAATATGGAGTAAATATATATCCCAAATTATCTCTGGATCCTCACCGGTGCAACAGAGTTCGCACACTAAGCTGAGATTTTTCAGACTCAGGTTTGAATTAGAAGTAGAACGGAGCACTTATGGTTACACCCGTGTGCCATGATGTTGATCCGTCAACTAAACTTAAAAAAAAAAAGTTACATTATCTGTTAGTATAGGTCTTTCACATTTGGGGTTTATCTCCAGCAGTTTTGTTTTACTGACATTAATTCTTAACCCTGTCCGTTTTGCTATTTCTGTGGTGAACTTATCTGTCTTTTTGTTGCAAATGTTCTTTACTTTAGCTGATGACATAGATATCATCTGCAAAGTCCAGATTTCTTTACTTCAGCTGATGGCACAGATATCATCTGCAAAGTCTAGATTTTCTTTACTTTAGCTACACAGATATCATCTGCAAAGTTCAGATGATCTTTACTCTGGCTGATGGCACAGATATCATCTGCAAAGTCCAGATGAGCTGACACAGATATCATCTGCAGATCCAGATTTCTTTACTCTGGCTGATGGCACAGATATCATCTGCTGTTCTTTACTCTGGCTGAAGTATCATCTGCAAAGATGATGGGCTTTACTTCAGCTGATGACACAGATATCATCTGCAAAGTCCAGATCTTTATCTGCATAAAGTGCCAGATTTCTTTACTCTGGCTGATGCACAGATATCACATATATCATCTGCGAAGTCCAGATGTTCAAAGTCCAGATTTCTTTACTTCGGCTGATGGCACATATATCATCTGCGAAGTCCAGATGTTCTTTACTCTGGCTGATGGCACAGATATCATCTGCAAAGTCTAGATGGGCTTTACTTCAGCTGATGACACAGATATCATCTGCAAAGTCCAGATGTTCTTTACTTCAGCTGATGGCACAGATATCATCTGCAAAGTCTAGATTTTCTTTACTTCAGCTACACAGATATCATCTGCAAAGTTCAGATGTTCTTTACTTCAGCTGATGACACAGATATACTCTGCAAAGTGCAATGTTATTTACTTCAGCTGATGGCACAGATATCGTCTGCAAAGTCCAGATGTTCTTTACTCTGGCTGATGACACAGATATCATCTGCAAAGTCCAGATGTTCTTTACTTAAATTTAAAAAAAAAAAACTACTTGCCTTATATCCTTTCAATTTTCCCTTCATGCTCTCCCTAGTATTAGGAACAGGACTCCAAGTAATCATGAGGGCTGTGGCATTGTAAACATCAGCAAGCACTTTATCTGGAGCACCCAAAGGCACTGAAGAAATGAAACATTAGGTTACAGTTTAGCCACAAATAAAAAAAATGTGTACAACAATGACATGGTGAGCAACAATAACAAAATATAGGATACTTTGTTTTCATATTTTACTCCACATATACAAGTGAAGACTGGAACGTAGACTGGAAGAATCATTAAGACAAAGAAAGAGTGCCAGAAAGGACTGACTCATCACAGACATTCTTTCATGTAGAGATGCATTTGATGATGATGATTAATTTTAAAATGTAGAAAAATACACACTGTCTTCTGCTGACATGATTGTTGTCATATTTGTGGCCGGACCATCTCCAAATCTGTTGGAAGCTTGGACTTTCACCTCATAGGGAGTGTAATACTGTAGGGCTCCCACAAGGACAACATAGCTACAGAGAAATGCTTGGCCTCGTAGAGATACGTAGTCACTTTTAATTTTACATGCATTACTGTGAGTTATCTCTCCCTGGAATTAGAAAAACACATGTCATATGGTAAATCAAAGGTTGCTAATGAACACTTTTCTCAATCATTTTCTACTAATGCAAGCTTTGTGCTGTGGTCTGGGGTGGGAGTGTGTGTGCACGTTTGCATGCACTTACACACAAACACACACCCCCCTAATGAAATAATGAGATTGCTTTTATTAAGGAAAAGATTTTTCTTTCTTCTCATTTACGATTAACAGGAATCCATTGTAAATTAAATTTTTTTTTTACCAGGTGTAATTTAAAAATGACAACTATTTTTTCCAAGAAACGTATTTTACAAAAATTGTATTATTTCATGGTGTAAAGTTGTTAAAACTGTTTTCAGTACTGTTGAACTTATTCTGTACTAAATAACTCCTGATATTTATTAAACAACTTTTACTTTAGTTAATTAATTTAACTTTCCTTGCTTTGAAAACAAAATTAATTATCTGAGCCATGGGGTAAGTTTACTAACACAATTTTCTGGAAAAAAAAAAGAATTAAAACCCTGATAACAAACTTAGAATCTGTGAAAGAAATAATGTTGCCTCCAGCATAATCTTTGATTTTCAGGAAAGCAATTTTTGCTTTTTTAAGTGTTTTATCATCTGCTTTTTCAAACAAAATAATGTCTGTTATTAAGCTATCTTGTCAATCAACTTTACTATTATTAATTTTAGTGGCACTAATTGCTGATTTATATGTGCACATATACATTTGTTATTTTTTAAAGCAGCAAGACTCTTCAAAATAGAGATGAAAATGTCAACAAAAAAAAAATAATTAGAGAAAGAGATGCTGATTACTATTTGTGGTCATGTTATGAAATACTTTTTTTTTTTTTCAAATTAGAAACAAGCAAACTTAATTTAAAAAAACAAGAGCAAAGGGATGACAAAGATATCTAGATTGCTTTCGAGGCACAAGCAGGGGGAAAAAAAACAGAACTGATTAAATGATCTTATGTAAGATGGTGAACCATAACTAACTATATATTATCAACAAGATCTCTTTAATGAATCTGACTGTATCAATACAGTCATGAATGACTGAAAATTTTAAACTTTTACACAATAATGGTATATACATACCACTCTCCACTTTGAAGAGTTTGCCTGTGTGAACGACTCATACACTTTCCATGAAATTTTGTACTTCAAATCTGGTCCGTTGTGATCTTCCAGTGGAAGAGGCTGAAATATATAAGCTAAATTTAGGATCTCGAGAAAATTACAATACATAAAGACAGAACAGATATTTTCTATTAATGAAAAAAAAAAGGTACTCGTTAAGGAAAGACTGCAACCATATCAAGGACACACATGTCCAGCTGCTTCAGAAAACACAGAAAATATCGCAAACATACATCAATAAACATCTCATGACATTTGTCTACTGGTGTAAGTTGAATGGAGCTGGGGTCAAACATGAGAACCAGTAGTCAACTAGGTATCCTTATAAAGATAACAAATTAAAAATATTGCACATGCATAAGCATTAGTATGCCACATGCAGAAATGAAATATGTAGTTAAGTCTGCTCTGATAAAAAAAAATGTATCTCAGAGATAACTAACAGAACTGATCAGGCCAAAAGTGCCTTTTATCAAATTAAGAATATTTTGTGCAACAAGTTCATGTCATTGGAGATGAGGAAAATTCTTGTAAACTATAGAGAGCCGGTTTTAACATATGACTGTAAATCCTGAAAAATTAATAAACCGGCCTCGGAGATGTGGTTTCACAGAAGAATCTTTAGAATTCCTAGGACAGCAAGGAAGAGTAACCCAGATGTTTTGAAAGAGACAGGTGCTCAAAGACAACTTTTAACAAACATCAGAAAGAGACCGTCATCATTTTTTGGTCATGGCCATGGGTGTCAACACATGAAAATATACATGCAGTTGCAGGTTGTGGACAGGTATGAACGCCCAAGTCAGTCTGCAGGGTATTTGATAATGATGATGATGATTTTGATAAGTTAAGCCAGCAAGGTACATAAGGACTCATAAAATTATGAATTGTCCTATTCTTCTGTGTGTAAGACGATATAGGTCTTCCCATCATCTTATACACTGAATGGTGGTGCATTTAACTATATAAATAAATACATGCCACTATTTCAGTACGTGTCCTGCCGCCTAATTTTCAGCAGTTTTCAAAGACAGGTTATATGAAAGTGATTTATTTTCCTTGTATTTTGTGGGTACACTATCTGATCTTGCCTGCACTGTCATCATCATTATCAAATGCCTTGCCGGCTGGCGTAGGCATTCATGCGTCACCACAGATCTCGGTTTTTGGTATTCTGGATCAATTCTACTGATGATATTCCTCCATGCTACCGTCTTAAGCCATCCACCATAAGTTTTCTTGGTCTGCCTCTGCCTCTTCTACCAGTGATCTTTTCCGTTATCACAATATTTTCCAGTGTTCCTTTTCTCATAACATGACCAAACAACTTTGTATCCTTCTCATTGTTGTATAGAATGTTCTAATTTCATTAAGCATTTCTAGGCATTCAATGTTGGTTATTCTGGCAGTCTAAGGTATTCTCAACATTCTTCTCAAGAACCACATCTCAGTTGCCTCCAAACTCTTCTTAATTTGTTTGCTCACATTCCAAGATACACTACCATACAACAGAACAGGCTCGATATAACCTTTCAGTACTCGTTTTCTGATGTTTAATGAGAATGATTTGTTTATGTCACACATCGTCCATCTGATGTTATGAATGTTCCTAAATACTTGAATTTATTGACTTGGTTAAGCACTATGACTTCTATTGCTATGTCACATTTCTTCTTTGATATAACCATTGTTTGTTTTCTTGATTTTCAGGGAAAGCTCATTTTTTACACTCTCTAGTAGAACAATATTTAATAGTTGTAGGTCTGAATTTTTAGCTATTAATACTGAATCATCTGCATAACGAAGATTGTTTATTTTATAACCTTCAACTAGTATTCTTGGTCTATCCTTGATTATTATTTCACTATAGAGAGAGAAGAGATCCAGTGACAAAACACATCCTTGTCTCACTCCTTGCTTTATCTGTTCATAACTGCCTACTTCATTTTCCAGTTTGATTGCTGCTTCTTGCTTCCAGTAAATTTTTTCATTATTCTTGAAATCTTTTTCATCAACGTTAATACACTCTAACAATGTTATCATTTCATCATGTTTCACTTTATTAAAAAAAAAGCTTTGGTATAATCTATGAAGCACAAATATATGTCTTTCTGTTTCTCCATTGATCTCCTGCGCAGATTAGTAATGGTATAATGGTGACTTAGTAAGCTTTAGCTCTGTGGATATTTCAATTTTGTTCTAGTAAAGACTGCTTACGGTGCCACTGGCCTTAAATATTTAAATGGTCACTAGAGACTGATCAGCCTATAATGATTACCAGTATGGCTGTCCCAGGGAAGTAAAGATGGCCGGCGTAATGCTGACCACATTACCCACCCAGTGCCGATTGGTCTGTAAAAATATGGGACGCTGTTCCCATATACCCATAGTCGTTAAAAGGGATCTTTACTTACTTTAATAGAGACTGATCGTTGCCTACTACTACTTTGAAATAAAAAGTAAAAAAATGGGCTTCGCTGAATCTCTATTGATGCTGTGTTGCATATCTGTTAGAGCCAGAGAACTTAATTTGTGTTACCATGGCCAATAAATGTAGAAAAATAAATTGTGACCCTGTAATCATGGGAACAGCTACCTCATCCCATAAAACTACAGCTGCAAAATTCAACTAATCATGAATTACTCTACAAAAGGCTTGGTGTAAGTTGGTTCAACTATGCTAAAATGGGAAATGCAAGGAAGATGAAAAGTACTAAATAAATTATTTCAATAAATATACGAGAGGGCTTCAAATTAAAACTTTAAATAGTTTGTGTGTGTGCACATATTCTGAAAAGGAAGGAACAAATATTTTTTGTTTTTATGTAGTCATGACTGTGTTCAATGCAAGTCCTCCAGCACCAAAAAAGTGTTTAGACAGTGTATACAAAAATTATCTTGACCACGTGTAACTATCCATACATCACCAGTACCTCTTCACTGGACAAAAAAGTATTTCCTGCCAATAACTCTCTGAGTTATCAAAACAGGTAGGAATCACATGGGGCTAGATCTGGAGAGTTATGGGGGATATGGAACTCTCTGAAAGTGGAGGTCTTTGCTGGTTTCATCACTGCATGGGCAGGGTGGGGCTGAGCACTGTCATGTTGCAAAAGGACACTTCTGCTCAGAAGTCCATGTCATTTAACTGATTACGGGTTGAGGTTGATTCCTGAGATCTGTATACACATCACTGGTAACAGTTTTCTCTCTCGGCACTAGTGTTCTGAAAATAAGCTTTGTTCATCACAAAAGGGAGTCAGCACAACCTTCCCTGCAGATGGCTGCGTGTGGAACTTCTTTGGTTTCATGAGGAGAAGAAATGGTGCATTCCTTGTTCACTCTTTATTTCAAGCTAGTGGTAGTGAACCCAGGATTCTTCTCCAGTAACAATTTTTGGAAGGGAACCGCCATCACCTTTTGCTTTAAAACACCCAAAAAGTTCTTGGCAAGCATCAATGCACAATTTTAATTCTGAGATAAGCTGCCGTGACACCCAATTTCAAGACACTTTCTGGTACTGTAACACATCATATATGCTGAGCCTTGACTAAGGTCAAGATATGTGTCAATTTTACTCACAGTCAATCAAGATATGTGTCAATTTCATTCACAGTCAATCAGTGGTGTGACAAAGGTATAATTAGGAAAAGCTAATCATGAATGTGTAAATACATTAAATCAGAAAACATAATTAAAGTTAGCCACACGCCTAACATGGGTCATTAGAAGAGGACAGCTGGAAAAACATGATAATTACAGATAAAGCTGTGAGCAGTAATTAAAGCTAGAACTTCACACGAACCAACGTATATATGTGAAATAATGAACAGATAGGTAAGAGACAGGAGGCATGTGTAACAAAAGCAAATCAAGTGTCCTCTGGTCCCTTGCACATTAACTTCAGACATAGGTGTGCCCTGTAGAACACCTGCTAGTAATGGGGGGGGACATGACCATGAGAATCTCCATTCTAATGGCATAAGAGTTGCAAGCATTTATGGGATAGAAGTAAACGGGTAGTATAAATAGGATGAGGAAAATATAGAGTGAGCTCAGATAAGACTGAGTGTAAGAGACTGGAGGTCGCTGAGAGCAACGGGTAGAGTAGACCCACTTTTGCTCTAAGTTAAACGTATGGGTATGGAAGTCTATATGGAGATTTGAGGTGTAGTCAACTAATAAGATTCAAAGAGCACATCTTACGTTAACAGTAACTGAGACATTCTCAAGAGAGAAAAAAATGGAAACTGAAAGCTAGATTATTCTTTAATGAATAATAATGTTATAGTTATAAACACTGATGTTATTTTCTGAATGCATTTCGTATTCCTGGAAATTCATCGATGGTGATTCTATCTAAATTAAATGTTATGTGGTCACAAGAGGTGTCAACACTGAATTTATTTGTGAGAAAAACACTATGCAGCAAAACTTCGCGACTGATGATGATGCACACTCTCAGTCACTGCAGCTACTGAATATTTTTCTAAGTAACAAACAACTATAATATATTACTTACATCCCACACAACTGTAAGCTCTCCAACAGACCCGCCACCCCCACGCACATTTGTGACAGTCACAGTTGGTTTGGCTCCAGAAATCTGGGTCATGGCTGAAAATACAGTTTATTGATAATACTTTTACTTGGCATTATTTCTTACTGAAGTATCTCAATTTCTGTCAACATCATAAATTTCCAATTTTACCATTAAACATCACTGGGAGGAACAGTATATGAATGTTAAATGCTAAATTAGGATCAACATCACAGCATTCGGGACACCCCCGTAAACCGCATCATCTCCATCTTCAGCAGCAAGCAAAGAGTATCAAGCGTTGGCCAGATTCCCTTATAACTCCTCGCAGTGCCATTCTCCTCAGACCGTAATGATCTATCTGTGCTTCAGCACTGTTTACATGCTCCCAAAGGACCCTCACAACATACAGCTTTAACAGTATATGATTGATTGCTTAATGGGTAGCAATGGCTATTGTCATTCTGCATCAATGTAAACGGTCTTGAAGGCAATCTATCCACCCTTAATTAAGGCAACCTCTAGCTTTCACATCAGATCTTTTCAAGTGTAGTGCCTGTTTTGGTAATTTAAATTTCTGTGATATATTAATAACAAATATAGACTGGTGTTTTTCTTCACTTGTGCTCTGTGGCTTCCCGTATGTATCCTAACATATCTCTCTCAAATAATCCTACTATAATTCTTGACATTTATTAGTTTCTTTCCCTAACTGGTTTGCATACAAATTAATACATTCATGCTGTTCTAATAGACTGCACTGAAGCTGAAAATGTAATCCAGCAGGTATGTGACTTGGATAAGCCTGACACAGTACAATATATGGATAAATATACCCATAGACAAGCATAAAGATCAGGCTGCCATCACACTGTGGAAGTACTGCAGCAGGAGATTGCCACCATTGTAGACAACCAGAATAGAAAACTGAGTGCTAAAGCCAATGGACAGCCTATCATATGATACCACCAGGTTTAGCATAAGAATGGAGGTGGAGGCGGTAACTGCAGCTTCCCGGTAGCTAGAGAACAAGATGCATACACATGTCATCATTGTAACAGACACTGAAAGCATGCTGAGAAAGGTGAAGAAAGGGATGCTTCAAGCAGAGTGGCAAGCTTCACTGGAAAAGTCATAGGTAGTGAGCATACTTTGGATCTTTTCTCCAGGCCATGCTGGCGTGGTGGGGAATTAACAGGCAGATAGATTGGCTAGATCTGCACCACTGGGTGGTGACTTGATACATGACAAGAGAAATGTGGTCAGGGCCCCTTGGAAACAAGTAATGGAGTCAGAAGCAAAACAAGATTATTATGGCCTGGAGAGAATGAGGCACCTGGGTGTAACCAGGGGGTCTGGCCAGCTCCCTACACTCAGAGAAAAAGCAAGATGGACATGTAACCAGATTATGACCATTAGTGTTGGAACTCTGCAAAGGCTGCTGAAGATGAGGATGGCGCACACATGGGAATGCCCAGGGTGCTGTGATGTCAATTCTCAACTCAAATCAACTCAACAGCGAACTGACAGTAATCTTCATGTGCAGAGGAAATCAACTTCACACAGATGAGAGGGTGTCCGTAAAGTGTAGGCCAAAGTCAGCATGGTCATGATGCACCAATAGTTGGAGACAATCATAACACAGGATGGTGATGACTACCTGGCAACTATGTCAAGAATAACCATTTAGATTACTGTAGGCAGCCAAACATTTAGCGATCATACCAGACTCTATGAACATGCTTCAGGAACAAATGTAAAAGTTAATGAACTGGCAAATGAATTGCTAACACAAGGGGAAGAAGCTAGGACAGGGTTTGATATAATTATTGCTGTACAGAGTAGACTGGCTGATCCTGATGAGGAGATAACCCAAGTGACCTGCAGGTAAAGCTGACCAAAACACTCCCAAGCCATCTTCAAGGTCACGACAGGTGATATAACTTCAGTAACAAACAATAAGGAAAGGTACCCTGGGATAGTTGCTGCATCAGAAGCCGCATGTGGAAGCCCAATGTGTACTGATGCCAACTGAAGCAACATAACATGAATGACACCAGATGTGAAATATGTGACAGGAGACTGAGCAAAATAGAATAAGCAAAATGTGCAATTTACAAAATAAACATTTTATGCAATAAACCCTGTCACTGGTGGTTAGAAAAAGGATTTGTACATGGTACATAGAACAAGTTTTACCACGTGTCTGTATGTGTCCAGAATAGCTGTAAACAAGCCTGCATTACATTTCTTGATAACCAAAGAACTTGATGATAATTTACAAATGCAGGTGAAAAAATCTTTAGTGCAGGACAGTCTAGCATACATGAGAATAGAGGTGGAGGCGGTAAATGCAGCTTTCTCGTGGCCAGAGAACAAGATGCATACACATGTCATAATTGTAACAGACTCTGAGAGCATGCTGAGAAAGGTGAACACCGGATTTTGGGAGAATGATCTTGACAGTCATTTAGCGAACACCGTAGAAAAACAGAATACATTCTGTTGGGAATAGCGGGATGTGAACAAGGATGGTCTGTAATGAGGTGATCACCAAAGAACGTGATGATAATTTACAAATGCAGGTGAGCTAAACCTAAATACTCACTGTATACAGATTTTTTTTTAAAACTGATTTCATTTAATAATGCCCTATTCTTACTCATCCACTCTGTCATTTGTGATGTTTGTCCTGTAGTTATACAGTAGAACCTCGTTTAACGAGCACCTATCATAATGAGTAATTCACATAACGAGCAAAACTAATTTTAAAAGAATGACTTGCTTAACGAGCGACGTTTCGCATAACGAGTGGCGAGTAGAGGGGAAGTCCCGAATTGTGCGCATGTAACATCAGTCTGTGTTTAGCACTCGTTCCAGTAGCATCGTAGTGTCGCTTGTGATCACACATTTTATCAAACTTATGTTATATTGTGATATATGTACATGAATCCTTCAGGCCTACTAGATGATCTCCCTGAAGAATTTAAGTTTATCAAGATCCAGTTTCTGCCTCCCAACACTACTGCGTTACTCCAGCCCATGGACCAACAAGTTATTTCTAACTTTAAGAAACTCTACGCTAAAGTACTCTTTGAGCATTGTTTTCAGGTGATTGAAGGGACCAACCTCACTCTCAAAGAGTTTTTGAAAAATCACTTACACATCGTTGCCTGCCTCAAGATGATCGAGAAGGCGGGGGAAGGGGTTACCAAGAGAACCCTAACTTCTGCTTGGAAGAAGCTTTGGCCGGACAGCGTTGTCGATTTGTGACTTTGAGGGGTTCAAGACAGTACCTGTGGAGCCTGTAGTCTCATTGTCTTTGGCCAATATCATGGGATTGTAGGTGAATACAAGTAATATCGAAGAGCTTGTGGAAGAGCACATCCAAGAGCTGACCACCCAAGAGTTTATGGAGTTGCGTTGTGTTTCACAGCAAGAAGTTTTGGAGGACAGTTTGTCAGAGGAGGAGGAGGTAACAGAAAAGCAACAATTTTCTGGCAAAAAAAGAGAAATGCTGAAAGCATGGGAAACTTTTGCATTTTATATTGAGAAGCACTACCCTAAAAAGGAAGTGGCTATGCGCGCTGCAAATTTATTTAATGATAATGCTGTGTCGCATTTTTGCCAAATTTTGAAGCGTCTGCAAAAACAAATGTCTCTGGAAATCTTTCTAGTAAAAAAAAAATAATTAGATATGCATCATAATTATTTTGCCTTTATTTTATTTTTTTTTCAAATCAAATTTGATTTCCAGGTGGCTTTGTTTCGAGTTTGAAGAAAAGATGAAGATGATTAACTCTCCTTAACAGTATGTATATAATTTTCTTTGAATAAAAGTTATACATAGCATTGTGTGAGTATTTTGTTCGACATGGAACTTATTATCGTATTTTACATCAAAGCTCGAGAAAAATTGTTTTGCATAACGAGTGTTTCGCTTAACGAGTATGATTCTGCAACGAATTATGCTCGTTAAACGAGGTTCCACTGTACTAAGGAAAATTTTTCTCAAGTTTGGATGTTAGCCACACATATGACAAACTATTGCATAAATGTGGGGGAATATCAAATAAATTATAACTGGAAGATAATACCGTTTTTTTTCTTTCCAGATTTGTCAAGGCACATTCATTAAGCCTTTGGTCACAACAAAGTGGCATCATAAATGCATTTTGAGGTAAATCATCTACATCATCATCAGGTGCCTTGCCGACTGGCGGGGCGATCATGACTCTCCATAATCTGCGATCTCCTGCAGCATGTATCAGTTCATGTGCCGACACGAGATATCAGAGTACATCAGAGCTATAAAATATAGGTACATATCACCTTCCAGTGTCGTCATAAAATACTAAAGATTTTTGTACTGTAAGATGTATAAATTAAACAACAGAGGTTTGGGCTGATTGGCTTTTTAAGAATAAATACTGCACTGACCTGTTGGTAAACTTGGAGGACCAATTCCAAAACTGTTACGTGCAGATACTCGAAACTCAATACCAGCTCCAGCTTTCAAATTTGTAAGTCTTGCAAATCTTTTATCTGGATATTGCTCCCTTGTTACACTGTAATTTGGAATGTCTGTTCAAATAATAGAATTATTATCTCTGTTTCACAAAATGTTTTCTGTCAAATAATATCATATACACTTAGCAACCACTGAAATGCATCACTTCATTTTATGAACTACAACTTATTATACTAAATTTGTTGGCACCTTTCCATCTTTCCAGACGATAATGTTATACTGTGCGATGAGAAGGCACAGGACTATGGTTATGGTGAATGTGACTAAAAAGACCTGCATGAGTAAAGAAAAGTCTTCTTCAGTTAGAGCAAGGAATTTCAGGACCGTTATGCATTTAGTTTATGTCTTCTCAGAAGCTCAGTTCTAATCCTTTCTGCAATCATTTCTTCCTTCTTTCTCATTCCCTCCACGCAACAGGGTCCATGCAATTTTGGTTCCATGAATCGACCTCAATACCTGTATCATTCATATTCCATCTGCATACATCTTTAAATCGTAGCAGAGGCCAGCCTCAACAACATTCACCCATCAGTAATTCACCATTCAGGATGTCGTGTCGTAAGAGACTCTACAATCCTCCATTGTCCAGTTGTGACCAAGCCACCTGAGCCTTAGGAGACTAAGTCTTAGGAAAACTGTTGTAATACCTGCTCTTTCCAATACCTCAGTGTTTGTGATCTTGTCCTGCCATTTAATGCCATGTTTTTATCTTAGGCATCGCATGTGAAAGCTCTTTAACTAGAACCATCAGAGCTGGAAAAACATATTATTGATGCCGAACTCAAACTTGACACAGATACTGCTGGTCTTCAGAAAACTTGTCTGGCAGAGGATGAGTGTTTTGCATAAAAATAATTATACCTTTTCTTTAGGGGGGGGGGGGGGGGGGGGGGGGACAGCAGAGGCCAGGAAGAAATCTGGAAGTATGGAGTGGGATTTGCAGTAAAGAATTCACTGTGGGGATCAGTTAGGAGTCCAAATAGATGAAATTACAGATTGTTGTCTCTATGATTGTCTGCCTCAAGCAGTTTTATCACCCTTGTTACTGCATTTGCACCCACTGTAATGTCAATATCTAGCTTGTCATAAATCAATTCACCACCAAGTGGTGTAGAATTGACCAGTCAATCTGTCTGATCTTTTCCCAACACACCGGCATCACTTTCAGAAAATATCCAAAGGATGCTCACTACCCGGGATCTCTGAAATGATGCTTGCCACCTGCATGCAGCATCCCTGTCTTCACCTTTCTCAACATACTCCGTGAGTCAGTTACAATTATGATATGTGTGTACAGCTGATTTTTCTATGAACTCCATGCACTTCGTCTGCCTCTCAACACAGAGCCATCTGTATAGACATTCATACCACCTGGGCGGGAATTGTCCTGAATCATTTGTTGAACTATTGATTCTGCAGCATCAGCTGGCCAGTCCCTGCACTCATGACTAAAAGTGGTTATAACCCTATACAAGTCTGATTTTTGATAGGACATTTTGAACCACTTCTCTCATCTAAATTTACCAAGCTTGCACACATGCCTAATTGTCTTCAGCTTGCACCTTTCTCTTTTCAGTCTGTGACTCTTAGCTTTAGCCAGGGCTTCATGCAAGAGGTGCTTCTTGTCCGCAGCTACTCTGAGATATGACTTTGCTTTCAGAATTATGAGCCTATCTACAATAGTAAACAGTGCAAGTATATATATATATCACATTCATACTATCAGGATATTTCTTGCACATCGAAATTACCCCATGGCTTTACTCTGTATGTGTTCAAGTTTCATCAGCTGACTCTTTGATATGGTAAGCATTTCAAGTTCATAATCTATCACGGACAGGATCACATGTTGGAACATTGTGAACAACAGTCTTTGCTCCATGTCAATTGCTGCCATAATCTTGAGAGCACTATGTCTTTTTTAGAATTTTACCACAATTGCCTCCACATGATCCTTCAAGGACAGGCTTCCATAAAAAAAATTATACCCAGGTACTTCAGTTTGCTTACTATTTTGATGTTTCTGTCATTAACTGTGAGGTTTGGAACATAAGCTGTTACATTTTGTGTGTGTGAATGCAGGACAGCTGCTATCTAGTTCACCAGTCAGGGACAACCTCCCTTCTCCGTGAGTGCAGATATCAAAATATCATATCCTTATGCAATATATATTTTATATCCCTCCACCTTAATGATATCATGAAAAAAAACTATCATTTACAGTATCAGAAAGATTATCTCTTACTGAATTTCTAAGTTCCTTATCATTATAATCAGTTTGGGATCCCTCCAAAAAAAAAAACTTCCTCTTTCTCTTTGTCCGTTGTCATATAATATATAAAACCATGACACTGGGCTACAATCTGGTATCAGTAAAATGACAAAAGTAATGATTGTTGTGATATAGAATAGAAAGAGACATCCCGTGGACAAAAAAACCAAAAAAGTAATGAATAAACATAATGGGTGAATACATTCCTCCATGCGTGATTCCACACCTGACTATATCCATATTCTCTGAATTCATATCAAACTTAATTCTATTTTTTACTGTTGTTAAATAGATCATCAAAGCATAGCACCATAGTTTCAAAGGTTCCGTTTTTTTCTATATTTGGCTCCAGTTAAGATTTATGTGGAGGGTGAATGAATGATGGACCAGGCTAAAATACTGAAAGCTTCATGGTGTATGGGGCTATGAGAACCAAGGGATGACTGGGAATTTGCAATCATGATTAGACTGCAAGAACAGCAAGTAAAAAGGGATGATTCTGGACAAGAGCCCCATACAGGAAGCCAAACAAGAATAAACCAGCACAGAAATATGGTGCTGTCAGCTACAAGTTACTGTGGGATTTACTGAGCGCATCCAAGCACTAATGGACTAAATAGTTAAATCTGTCAAATAACTAAAAGTTCAAACATTTGCCTACATCAAAAGGCACTTTATAAACTGCAAAATATGGAGCTGATCGACTAAAAGCAGATGGATTATCTACTTTTTCATACTGATATCTCCATTGTTACCAAGTGTGTGTGTGTATATATTGATTTAATAGCAATTTTTTAAAGAAGGAGTGAATATTATTTTCACTTACTAATTCCATCTGGATGAACTCGCCAGGTTGGGTCTAAAGTAGTCCTAAATGCCACAAAATAATGTGTGATCTTGCTACCACGGTCCTCGCCATCGGTCCAAATCACCCAGCGTGTTGTATTAATGTTGATCTGGTCAGTTGGTCTGTTAGCATCATTTGGCAAAGGAGATCTATTGTCAACATACACGCCAGCTGGTTCACCAGGTGGCCCTGATTTCAACAGAAAAGCATTATTTTACTGTTTTCAGATTCATAATAACTAGTCATGGCACATTTTAAAGAAAAAGATGATTTTAAATATATGGGTGGACAATAAACAAAAACTACATTTTCTACACAAAATGTGAAATACAGTGCCATCATTACGAGGGGGTTTTAAATGAAGACTTTTAAAGTGTAGTAGAAATTACAATAACAATATCATTGTCTTGTAACCTGTCATTAGTGTTAAGGATGTCAAGAGTGTTCAACATGTGACATTAGAGTGCAGACAAAGGTGTTGATGCCATATGGCAGTTTATAAATGCCCCCCCCCCCCCCCCCATGACCTATACCAAAAAGGAGCAGCATTCTGATATTATTATTTGTTATCATTGAGGGGGTGAAACCTGTAGACATTCATCGACAAAGGAAGGTCCAGTCTGGTGATGCATGCCTGTCAATCCAGCAAGTGTATGAGTGAAGTAGGAAGTTTGAAAATGGCTACTCAATGTATGTCACAGAAGTCATGCTGTTTTAGGAATCCCTACTCCATTCATGTCAATATCTGTGGCTTAGGCATGGCGAATGCGCTTCATAATGCCAGGGTGCTGGGTTCCATCCCAGCTGCTTACGATTCTGTCTTGCATTGGTTTCGACTGACCATTCAGACAGCAATGGCAAACTACCAATAGTAAAATTTGCCTAGAAAAAACCACAATGCCAAAAAAATGCTGTGGTTGGTTCTGCAACATCTTGTGAAGAATATGCAAATAATTGTAACTCCATTCTCTCACTTGCTGGATTACTATGGCATGCATCACCATCCTGGACTAGTCACTGATGAATTTCTGTTTTTTAACTAATATTGTAGGGTACCTCTTTGTGTACACAAATTTAATGAGAAGCAAAAATAAAGATAATTAAACATCCCAACTTGCTGTAATGCATTTTTATTTTTAAACTTCCTGTGAATTACAGAGACACGGTATACGCCAGACAATGCAAATGAGAACAATTCTGTTATATTTACCTATGACAGTAAGATAAGCTGTAGATGAGATCTGGTCCAATCCTGTTGTAGCAGAACATGTATATCTACCTTCATTTTTAAACTGGGCTGCTATAATATATAGTGATCCTCTCTGAGTACCAACACCCTGAAAACAAATTTTGTTAATTGGAATTAAAATAATTTAAAGGTATTTTACTATAACTTCCAGGTTTCATTCAACACAGAATTCATAGTATTCGAATAGTATTAATAGTAATAATAGTGTTCTGTTGATATCTGTGTTTAACCCTTGTAATAACATATAAAACTGTTTACTGGTGAGTCAAGCATGTACAAGAACCATGTTTATTAAAGACCATAATTCCTTGGCAAATGTACCTACTGTGTAACCCCTCTTATAATTTCTCTGAATTTACTAAGCTCTCACATCAAATCTGATAGCAAAGTCTTCCTACAATCTCATATTGATCCTCTTGTACTTTGTGAAGTCCAGGTGAAGTAATAAGAGAAAATGTCCATTTATGCGCTTCGTCACATCTTTTTTAATTTCACACTTTTTCACTGACGTATTTGAGCACAGTTTATTTAAAATGTAAAATGTATCTAAATATGTAACATATCACATTTTATATCTGTTGTGTATGCCGATGATATGGCGCTACTGAGTTTAGAGGTGGATACTGGCAAAGCACAGACAAGGCTTTAAGAATCCCTCAGAACTCTAGAGAGGTGGTCCAATAGTTGGTACATGCCTGTAAATTGGGCCAAACCACACACCATTTTCAGTGTTTCTACCAAACCCCAGAAAGTTTCACTTACATATGGCAGCCTGGCACTGATACATGATGACTCACCGTCATATTTAGTAGTAACCTTTGATCCAAGACTCACGTGCAGAAAACAGATAGAAAAGACACAGAGCACGGGACTCAAGAGAACCCAACTGATGAAGTTAGCTGGAACAGACTGGGGGGCAAACCTCAGTGTCCTCAAAAGGACCTATACAGGCTATGTGAGGCCAACACTACAATATGGGATAGTTGCTTGGGGAACAGCAACTAAATAAAATTTTCAAAAGAAAATCTCAAAGATTCAAAACCATGCTCTCCGTATTATGACAGGGGTCATGTGCTCCACGCACATATTAGACATGGAGACAATTACTGGTCTCCATGATCTGGAAGATAGGAGAGACCCAAAGCTCCTCACCCAGCTCTCCAAATACCACCACTTTAAAGAACAACCCATGCACAGTCGACTGTAGAAACCCCAGAAGGCTAGACTAAAGAGAAACTGTTTTATTGAGAACGCAAATGCCAAGCTTGCTGTTCTCAAAGTCCCTCCCATAATACCAAACGTTCCATTGAAACCTTACAATGAAGTTTTTATAGATTACAAGACTTTTGACACAGAGTACAAAATGAAAAGCTTATTGCAGGCTTCCAAAATATCAGATTAGATGGAACAAATATCAACCTATACTGGAAACAAATAGCAACAGTTAGACACACATTATCAATGGAAGAATAATAAACAATCTGAGAAATGCTGATCACAGTGTTACTAGTAGAAAGTGAGCAGGAGTTATAGGACCTAGTGGATCAAGTTATAAGGCAGAGTGCAGAGCATGGTTTAGACATTTACCATTAAAAAAAACCATGAAGATTAACAATGGAAAGGAGTAACGAACCATGAACATCACAGCAAACAGAGAGATATTAGAACAAGTAACAATTTTCCTCAATCTAGGATGCTGACAATGGATAATAGCAGAAGTGGAACAGAAATCAAAAAGAGAACAGGAATGGCTATAACTATCTGCGAAAAGATGCTAAAGCTATTAACATCTAGACAGATAAACAACACATTAAAAATAAGAATTATCAAATGGTATGTCAAAAACAATCAAATACAGAAGTTATGGAGAGATTGCGACTGAATTTTGGTTTTTAAAGAGACAACTTAAACATTTTGGCTACATTAAAAGACATAGCACTCTTTTAAAAACCACACTAGGGGGAAAAGTCAAAGCTAAGTGAGTAAGAAATAGATAATGATAAAAGTGGGAGGACAACATCAAGAGATGGACAAATTGTCTCAGAGTGTACTACCAAAATAAGAGATAGTGCAACCTCCGCTGTGGAGACGGTCTCTGACTAAACTGAATACTATTTATACAAATTATTATTATTATTATTATTGCACACAAAACAAATCTTAAGAAGCTTGAGACTCCCTCCAGTAACTTTTGCAGAATGGAGCTCAATTCTTGTTTAACTGCACAATAATAATAATAATAATAATAATATTGTGCAATTAAACAACAAAACTTGAGGCCTCCTCAGAAAAATTACTGTGAGGTGTTGTGACCAATGTTATCTCTGTGGCAGCGAACCTGGCTGAAAAAAATATACAAATATTTTCATTATTTAAAAATTACCAGTCTGTACTCTTGTTCTATTTCATATCTGATGACATGGTCATTGAATTTCCAAAGATATATCATGTCGATATTAGATGGATGGGAAACTTGACAGAACAAAGTGGCAGTCAGATTCACTTCAACCCGTTGATCACTTGGAGACTGAGACAGTACTATCCGCCCTGTAATAAAAATTGCAATCATACATTAGATGACATAAGGGTTACCTGAAAAAGGTGTGGGTACTGGCTAATCTAATCTGTGGTTAAAGGAGGATTTTCTTCTTCTTCACTTCCTCTTGTCCTACTTTCAGTGTTCAGCTAAAAAATATTACCGCGATGTCCTGTTTGCAGGAGAAAATATTTTATGGTCACCCTAGGCAATATGTTAATTTCCTATTATCCTCAAGACTGCAATTCCCCAGTATTCTTCTCTCCTTTTTTTTCCTTCTCACAACACAGATATCAAGGTACCTGGAGAGTACCTATACAAACACAACAATATTTATACTTCAGACAACAATGACACAGCGAAATTAGAAAACATTCTATAAATACATATGCTTTCTTTAGCACCCTTAATAACTAAACAATTTGATCATCCCCGCAGCAGCGATGCACACGCAAAAAACAAAAACAAAAGTATTTTGACATGAACTTACCCACAACTTTCAGATGTGAGAAGTCCTCAGCTTGACCAACTGAATTCTGAGCCTGACAAGTGTACTTCCCTTGATCGCTGGCTGTAATGTTCTGAATGATTAAATTACCATTTGTCAGTAATTTATAATGATCCTCTGGTTTAAACAGTCCAGGTTCTAAGTTCAGGTTGCTTCCATCTTTAAACCATTTGAAGGTTGGAGCTGGTGCAGCTACAGGATTGCAGATGATTGTGACTTGTCCTCCCAATGTTGCCATTAGTGATTTCATCATTGGTGTTTTTGAGAATGATGGGATAAGCTCTAAAACAATTCAAACAAATGATATAACATGGTGAAAATCAAACCAAAAATGCACATGCAAGAAAAAATTGAAATGTGTGTATAAAATTTGCAGTCTCAGTGCTAAATGGAGACTGTTCAAATTAAGTTCATGTTAATGAAGAGTTAAAAAGAACCTATGGTATTAATGCCAGCAAACACTATAATAGTTAAGAGTGTGTTTTTTCCTGTGGCAACATGGATTTGATTCATGGTTAATTTCACAAACATAAAAGAGCATTTTCACAACTGAAGACAATTTTGAGGCCTTTCTTACACATTTTGATGGTCTGATATGTTGTGCCTTACAATCGTCATTTTCCACCTGTAAAAGTGGCTGAAGATAGGTTGAATGTAAGATTGCAACTGGGAATGAATGAATGAATCAATCAAAAACTTACATCACTAAACTTGGGACATTTCCACATCTGCCCTGTCCCCTTCTTCGACAGACAACGGAGAGTTGTCTTGCTAACAGAAGCGGTTGAACCTGATTAAGTCTGTCTCTGTCTCCCCTCCAACGTTGAATGTCTTCCAGAACCTCTTCAACCCCCCCCCCTCTCTCCCCCCAATTAGTCTTTCCATGTATAGGTTCTCTATCTGTTCTCTGCACTGTCCATTTGATCACATAGAGCCTTAACCACATCCACATAGAGAAGCAGCAGCAGCTAATATATCAGCCTGCTCGTGGCCTCGCACACCTGAATATCCTGGACAGAAAATCTATGATATACTCCTGATCTGAATCTTATCAAGTGGTGCAAGCCACTCGGCGCGCAGCAGGAGGGTGTCAGTTTCAATTTTCTGAAGGAAGCTCTGTGAGTTTGTTTGCAATTACAACATGTCAAGCTGTGCTGCTGGCTCTCAAGCCATCGAAAAGCTGCCATTACTTCCTCCACTCCCATTCCCCCACTGGATGTAGTCACATTGTACACAAGGCTCTGTTTTCAAACCTCTGCAATAAAACGCCACCCTCTCTTCTTACCGCTCACTACCGATCTATTTTTTAATATTAAGATGTCACATTGGCGTGAATTTACATTGATCAGCTCTTGCATTGCTGACTCTGTTTCACCAGCTATCCATTCCAGGCACCCTCTGTAAAAAGGTAACTATTACTATGCAAGTTTGTTTTTCACTTTCTGTTCCATGTCTAGTGATTCCATCATCTTCAAAGCAGTGAATCCTTCTCCTGTCTTTAAAATGACATCTTCCACAGGATATTTGAAAGACAAGCCTCTGTCAACAGTTATTCCCAGATATTTTAATTAATTATCTCTCTTTACGGTGCTGCAATTTATTGTGATGTCTGCAAACACATCTCTATTATTTCAAAAATAAACACTACAACCTTGCTGCTTTAACTGGGTTGATGACCAAGCCTGTTTTATCACACAATTTACCTACCTGATCTACCAGGAACTGCAGGTCTCTAGATATGTTTATTTTATTTCTCCCCTGTGTGCAGACTAAGAAATTGTTAGCAAAAGTCCAGATTCTCCCTAGACTACTGCTTCTACTGCAGCTATCCTGCTTGTGTATACACTGAAAAGCACTGGGAAAATGGCAGAACTATGTGGGAGGCCAGGTGCAACACTACATGGTTCAGAGTTCCATAAGCCTAGACAAAGGGCAGTCTGCCATTCATACAGGATTGCTGCAATCAAAATAATGATGCAAGGACTGACCTCCACATCCATAAGAGTGAACAGCAAAACATCATATTCAACCCTGTTATATTATCTTCTTAAGCCAGTGCCACCACAACTGTTTCTTGTTTATGTTGAAACAACTGCAACTGATAATGAAAGTTAACCTACATGACAGCGAAGATGCATTATTAGCATGTGAATTGTGGTTCAGGTAATTCTATGAAGCACACAGAATATTTAAATAAGCCCATACAAGTAAATGGGCTTGTGATCATTCATGGAACAAGTGCAGAAGAGACTCAGAACAAATGAAAACTCCCAACTGTATTGTGTTGACTCGTACGTGTGGTAATACAGCTTTTATTTATTAGCCTATTTAAGATCAACACATGAGACACTCAGAACAAATGAAAACTCCCAACTGTATTGTGTTGACTCGTACGTGTGGTAATACAGCTTTTATTTATTAGCCTATTTAAGATCAACACATGAGACACTACACAGCCTCACAGTTGTGTCGCCATCTTGTTGTGTCATCATTTATTTGTATACAGGTAGTACTCCCCAGTCAGCCCTTCTAGGAAAGGCCGGAGTATAACATGGTAATTTCCTTAACTGTATGTAACTTCAGAAAGATGGAAATACCAATATGTTGCCTAACCTTCCTATACCTAACCTAATGGACACAAAGTTCTCGATAAGCTTAGTGGGCTTTATATACTGTAGATAGAATGAACACGGATGACCATACACAATGCATTCCATAGCTAAGAATTAAAAGCTGACCTCACAACATGGAGAAAGGACAACAAAAACACAATATTAAACATAATGCACTCACCTAGAACACGGAGAAAAGACAACAAAAACACAATATTAAACATAATGCACTCACCTAGAACACGGAGAAAAGACAACAAAAACACAATATTAAACATAATGCACTCACCTAGAACATGGAGAAAAGACAACAAAAACACAATATTAAACATAATGCACTCACCTAGAACATGGAGAAAAGACAACAAAAACACAATATTAAACACAATGCACTCACCTAGAACACGGAGAAAAGACAACAAAAACACAATATTAAACATAATGCACTCACCTAGAACCCGGAGCTGAGCTGTACTAAAGGTGGTACCATGCAAATTTGTTGCAGCACACTGATACATTCCATTATCCTTTTTCAAATCAACAGCGTCAATAGTTAAAGTATTGACAGAAACAGTCAGTCCTGCTGAATTTCGAAGAATTTTTCCATTTTTGTACCACTGGTATGTAGGCAGTGGATGACCAGTAGCTTCGCAGTGCCAGGTTAGCTTGCTTCCAACATCAACATGTTGTGGTGTGAGTGCATACGTAAAGAAAGGTTTAGACTGAATCACCAAGTCAAGGCTTCTCTCATCTACAAGGTTTGTCGCAAGACTGAACACTTTGCAGACATACTGTCCCCCATCCTCAAGTTGAGCACTGTTTAAAACAAGAATGCGGTTGTTGCTTTCAAACTTGTGTCCAAGAGGAAGTTGTCTGTTATTTGCCCTTGACCAACTGTACTGGAGTTCACCTGTGCCATATGCAAAGCACTCCAGCTTGACCATGTCACCTTTCAATGGTTTTGGTGGAAACACATAAATAAAATCATTCTGAATTTTAGGCTGAAACTGACTTGCACCGCCGGATTTTACAACAAGTCCAAATCCCAGGCTGGTTCTACTTTCTGTCTGGGTACCACCAATTGAGTTACTATTCTGACTATAGCTGGTCAGTGTGACCAGGCAGTAATAGGTTCCTTGGTCAGAGACTGCCAGCTCAGAAAAAAATAATTTTCCACTTGCAGAAATAAAAATATGTCGTTGAAAATCAGGTCTTATGATGAAAAACTGATCTTTGTACCAAGTGTAACTCTTTGCTGGAAAAAATAATACACATAAAAATTAATTTAATAAACACATAACATTTGATTAATGATTGATTGATTGATAGATACATATACAAACAGACAGACAGACAGACAGACAGACAGACAGACAGACAGACAGACAGACAGACAGACAGATAGATAGATAGATAGATAGATAGATAGATAGATAGATAGATAGATAGATAGATAGATAGATAGATAGATAGATAGATAGATAGATAGATAGATAGATAGATAGATAGATAGATAGATTTGATTCAAGTCATACAACTAATATTTATTTTATTTTACAACACTTTTATTTGAACAAAATTATTTTAAACCAATACAGAGGGTATCAAAATATCTAATAATTTGGTTAGCAAATGAAAAATCTGAATATGTAAATATTAAATTGTGAACTTAGCTTTAACCAGATGCTATCTGAAAAGGGTATGATTTTCTGCTGCATGTAACTATATTATAAGAATCTTTCATGCAGTCTGGCCATGCTGAATAACTACTTTGATATTCCAAATCTCTGTACAGCATACTGCATGCTATTCCTTTTTACACTGTCATATTTCAATATATTCTTCTTCTTTTGTCAAAATCTGCTTGTGCCGCTAGGCGTCGCAGTCTATCAGATGATCGGCAACCGAGCCAGGGCGCGCTCAGTCGCTTCATATGCCGTGATGTTATGAAGTCTCAAGTTGTCCGTGACTCCTTCAATCCATATTCTTCTCGGTCTTCCTCTGCCTCTTGGTGTTTCGATTTTCATGTTGTATGCTCTTGATGCTGGCATCGTTGGTTCCATTCTCATTAGGTGACCAAACCATTTCATTCTTTGCTTCTCAGTAAATTTAACAATGGGTATGGTTCCAATAGTTCTTGTAATCACATCGTTTCTCACTCGATCTCTTCTGGTTTTATTCGCAGCCATTCTCAAACATCTCATTTCACAGGTGGTTAGTTCAATATATTAACATCCACAATCTCTCAACTGTTTTCACCACACATGCAGTTACATAAATAAAATCAAGCTGTGACAAACAAAAGCACTGAATGCCACAGGGAAGAACATCATTGCAATACATGTTTCACATTTAGCAGGTTTTTAAAAAAAATAAATGAGTCATTCGTCAAAAAGAAGAACTGAAGTTTAATTCTCAGCAGTGACAGGGTTCCTATGTCCAACCAAATTCCTTATAGGATCAATCTGGCGTCATCAAATAACTATCAACAAATATTGAGAGGAAAAGCCAGAAAAGGAAGGCAGGAAGGAAAGGAGCTAGGGTCCCCTACCTTATTCTGGATAAAATCTATGTAGATCCAACACTTTACATACATGCAGCAATATACGTCAGTATTCCATTTAACTTTAAAAAATACAAACACACACACACACAAACTATTTAGCAAAGTTTGCAAATGTGAGATTACATATACATTTTAGAGCAACTATCAAATGTAATAAATCAAAACTGTACATATATCATAAGATAGCTAACTGTGAAGAAATGTGTAAGCAATGTTAACAGGCTGTTCTACAGTGACTAACTAAACCTTTCATAAATGTATACTTAGTAAAGTACCTGGTCTTGAAGCAATCTGAGGGCACTCAAGTTGTGCACCATCATACTCATTCCCATTCACAGTGGCTGGTGGAACATTTGAAAATTCTCCCAGAAATCCAAAGGATAAAGGCACTGAGGTACTTAAAATAGTTCCATACTCATTTGCAGCTTTGCACTGGTAGGTACTTTCATCACTTGTAATAGGATTGTGGATTTCAAGTTTTCCAGTTGAGAAAGAATACCTATTTTAATGATTACACAAGACAAAATATGAGAGCAGATATTTTATTAAAAGCAACACACAAGAGCACATTTTTAATTACATGCATTACTATCAGCTTCTCAAACATGCAGAGTTAGTTGCAAACACAAGCTATTTCAACTGTTCCTAATCCTTCAGGTTTACATATTAACTGCAAGTTTTGTTGGTTGCAATTGTATTTTAATGATCTACATTCTTTATTTCAGGATCTGTAAATAATCTGCTGAAAGTCCTACACTTTATACTTTACATTCATCTCACTGATTTCTTCATAAGGGAAGGCATAGCTAAGATTATAGTGTAAGTCACAACTTTGTGGATACTGGTTTTGAATCTCGACACTCTAGTGTTGGTTGGTGGTAAGTGATACAAAAATATTTTTTGGGTGGTGGAATCAGACTGCATATCTTCTCAGATTGGGGTGGCTAGGGAAAGGGGGGCACATAGGTGTAATTAATGTGTACAATGTTAATGTTGGAAATTACAAACAGTAGTTGTTGTTGTTGTTGTTATCGATCCAGCGGCGCATGAGCTTTCGCCCTTTGGCCCAATGCCATGTAGTGGAATTTGCATGTTTTCACAAGCTGTTCTTTTCCTCCGTACAAGGTGTTCCACAGTAGTCAATCAGCTCATCTCTTAGGCACAACTGTTAAAATAGCTAATGGTCAAAATTTGGTACAGGAGAGCCTAGCCTAGGATACCACAACATCCAGCTTAAGAATGGAAGTGATGGTGCTTACTGCAGCTTTCCGCTGGCTTGAGAACACTATACACATACCCACACACATCGTGATTGTCACTGACTCAAGAGTTCTACAAGCAACATCATATCTCAGAGTAGCTGCAAACAAGAAGCACATCTTGCATGAAGCCCTGGGTAGATCTAAGGGTCACAGACTAAAAAGAGGAAAGTCTTGGTTGGCGCAAGCTGAATACACAATCATACATGTGTGCAGGCTTGATAAATTTGGGCAAGGAGAGTTGGTGGTCAAAGTGTCTGAACAAGAATCAGATTTGTGTAAGGTTCTAAACAAATGATTCATGACAAATTCAGCCCACGTGACGTGATGTGATTATCTATAAGATGGCTCTGTGTTAAATGGCAGACAAAGTGCATGGAGGTTCATAGCAAAAAAACGTCACTAAGCGCAACAAAGTCTGGCATATGATATCACAACGTCTAGGGTTACATTTATTAAGAAAACATTATAAATCCCTCTGCACACACAAAAACAAATTAACATTCCTGAGCAGCCCTAAGATAACTGGAAAGTCTTTTACAAACCAGGTGAACATTATAATTTCTCCTAATAAACATTTTCAAAATATTCATGAACATATTGCTAGATAAAGAATAGATATACTGCGGATTGATACACACCTGGGATTTGCAGGCAGAGGCACCATGCCTCCTTGCCTTTCAACGAGCCATGCATATGAAGGGTCAGGTTTTCCACTGGCAAGACACTCTAAATACACAGTGTCTGTCTGACCTAAAACAACAGTTTCTTGAGGTTCTTGCAAGAATGTGGGGCCTCTTGGGGCCTGGCCTGGATAATCTACATCTAATCCATAATCTGAAAATGTGTATCAAATGATCTGTTTTAAATTTAGGAGTCACATTTAGTATTTTCTTAACTACACATATTTTAATTTCAACTACGCCATGTAGTCATAAAAGAATGTTAAAAACATGTCCACTATAATAGTGATATTGCAAACAAGTTTGTTTTCAGTTAATATTACCAAAAGCACTCGAGCCGAACAATTTGTTCAAGAACAAGGTCCATAGAAAAAAAATTGTGACAGTCTATAACTACAGAACTATGCAATATCTCCATTTTTTTTTTTTTTTTTTTGGCGATGACATTATCCCACTTGCATTGAAGTCTCCATAATATATAATTCCTTTGCTGCACACAACTCACCTTCCCACTGCAGGCATCAACACTGATGACCGTGAGCTGGGCGGAGGCTAGCATTATTTCTGTGTGCACTATTATGTCACTGTCATAAGGACATGTTTTCTAAACAAGGCACAATTCCAGTACAATACACAAACTTATTTTAGGCTCAGTCTGTCACGATTTGCTTGCCGGCCTATTTTTTAACCCGTCATCTGGTTTCCTTGAACAAAATACCAAAGGATATTGATGAAAGACCAATAAGGGACCGGATACTCATGTGCTGTAATCAATCCAGAAAAGGCCACAACCGTCCCGTGGTGTTCTTTGGACAACAGGATTGTTAGAGCTGATGTTCCCAGACTCAAAATAAATGGCAGGGACATCAAAAGAGACGACAGTCTGCGGTACCTGGGTATCTCCTTTGACAGAAGTTTGTCTTTCAAGGATCACATAGTAAGGGTTGGGACAAAGGCTAAAAAAAAGTCTTAATGCGCTAAAGATATGATAGCGATGGACATGAAGAATAAAATCTTGTTCACACTTTACCAGCACTTAATCATCTCAGTGATTGATTATGAATTAGGATTACTCACTGTCTCAAAGCGTCAGCTAGAGAAACTGGAGCACATACAGAATGAAGCTATGCGGGTGATCCTAGGATGTACAAAAGACGCCCCAATTGTGTGCATGCAATACATCCTTGCATTGCCGACTATTGCAGATAGACTAAAGGTGCTGCAGGTTAAATCATACATCAGAGTAGCTGCAGACAAAGAACACCCTCTGTATGAAGCTTTGGCTGCAGGTAAGGGTCAGAGGCTGAAAAGGGGGAAATCCTGGATGGCTCAAGCAGAAGACACAATAAGACAAGTATGCAAGCTGGAGAACATTCGGCAAGGAGAGGAGTGGGTCAGAGTACCAGAGGACAAGTATGCAAGCTGGAGAACATTGGGCAAGGAGAGGAGTGGGTCAGAGTACCAGAGGACAAGTCTGACCTGTGTTGGGTTATTATTACATTGGGCCGGAAGTGCAGAAAGTGGCCAGCGGGTGCTACAGAGGTGAAAGTTCAACAGTTAATTCACGATAATTCACGCCTAGGTGATCTGATTATCTATACAGATGGTTCGGTGTTGAGAAAAAAGGAAGTGCCTGGGGGTTCAATATCCAATATAAAATCTTTAGTGTAAGACAGCATGACATATGACACCACAATATCTAGCATAAAAGATGGAGGCTGTAACTGCAGCTTTCCAGTGGCTAGAGAATTAGATGCATACACATGTCGTAATTGTAACAGACTCTGAAGGCATGCTTAGAAAGGTGAAGACAGGAATGCTTCGAGCTGAGTGGCAAGCTTCATTGGGAAGGTCATGGGTAGTCAGCATACTTTGGATCTTTTCCCCAGGCCATGCCCGCATAGTGGGTAATGAACAGGCAGGAAGATTGGCTGGATCTGCACCACTGGGTGGTGAATTGATACTTGACAAGGCATATGTGGTCAAGGCCCTTTGGGAACAAGCAATGGAATCAGTAGAGAAACAAGATTATTATGGCCTAGAGAGAATGAGACACCTGAGTGTAAAAAGAGGGTCTGGCCAGCTCACTACACTCTGAAGATGACAGAGCACGCATGGAAATGCCCCGAGTGCTGTGATGTCAATTTTTGACTCAACTAACCACTCATGCATGAATCCTATAGCTCAGACCAAAACATTGCTATGCTTGGAATCTTACATCAAACAAATATTTAGTGGGGAAAACACCCTTCATCCCAATGGAAGAAAAAGGTATACCGTTATCTTTGTTGTTTACACTGGAACAAGAGAGGCAGGGAATGTCCTGGAGGAGTCCACATGCCTGATGCCACCTCTCAAGATAACCAGACATCCCATAATTGTGGCTGTATGTCTTACAGGCGTTCAACTTATCGGCCTGTAGGTCTACCTCAGGCTTGATTTGTCAAAATCAGGCTTGGGTTTTTCATCAAGGCATCAACGGTCTTGGCTGTAGAATAGTTTTCCTGGTATAGGAATAAGACCTCTTTCCCTCTATATGTATCAAAAGTCACAGGGCCACACCCAGAGACTTTCAAGGAGGAACAGCTGGTGTTTGAAGTTAAAACAACGAATCAACATCATGGCACATGGCTAGTAACCTGTAAGTGCTCTGTTCTTCTTCTAACTCAGGTCTGAGTCTGAAGAAGCTCAGCACAGTGTACAGGCTCTGTAGCACCGGCGAGGATCCTGAAATACTTTGGGTAGATTTTTACCTCAAAATTTTGCCCGGGCAGCGCCGTTAGGCTACTCTTTTCGATTTCCAACTGCCAAGAGATTTTTTACGTGCGCAACTATGCACACAGGCGACCTATCTCACTACCCAGAGACCAGGGGGGAATTACTAGAAGTCCAAGCGAAAAAAAACCAGCCCTTACCGGGGACTGAACCCGGAACCTATAGCACTTGAGGCGTACACCATGTCTCGAGACCGCGCAGCCCTCTTGTGTGCTTTACTGCTTAAGATATCTTCAGCCTTGGATCTCCCAGGCCTTTCAACGTCAAAAGAATAATGCTGCTGCTAGGCCAGTGACATGTGTGTCAGTTGTAAACACAGCAGATTTTTGGGTATTGTATGGGAAAGGAAAGACAGTGAAGGAATGGAAATAGCTACCACTACTGACTGACAGCGCCCAGAATATGAAAAATCCTAAAAAGCTATGGGAGTTGTGGTAGTATGGTGGCTAAATGCTTGTCTGCTGGTCTGAGATCTCGAGTTGAAATCTGCATTGAAATGAATTTTTTATAATTTATCTAGGGTTCCCAGGTTGACTCCACTTAAAATGAGCATCAGGAAATCTAATACACATACCTACACACCTATCATATAAATACATGTATGTACACAAAACGCATACAAATGTATATAAATTGTATTACTGAAGTCACGATGTTGTTGCACAATCCTGTAGACTTCATTCACGCTGATTTCACAAATGTAGGAATAGGTTGAATTTGTCTGCCCCACTTTCCAACCATACTCTGTACCTATAAATGACAGACACACAAAAAAACATTTATCTAGAAAGTCAGTTAACAAAAGAAAATGTTCATATAAGGCATTTTTTCTCTAATTTTAGATACCATTTCTCTTCTTTTTTACCTTGAAAATTATTCAAGGCATGCAACTGCAATAAGTAGAACCTCGTTAACATGAACTAACTTAAAGCATATCAAATTAAAAAGAAATAATAAATAATGCATCTAAACTATGTAAGGATCAGTATTGCAACAATAAAATATTAAAACCGCACCACATTCAAGTATGTTAGACATCATAAAGATTTTTTTGCACACAAATTTGTGCACTTATCTTACTTTCCTGCCTGAACAGGAACACGAAACACTGCTATCCATTTATAAGAATTCACATGCCTTCTCTATTCAAGTATGCAACAGCTAGTCTTTATTTGAGACAACCTAAATACTTTGGATTTCATGACAATTTTTGCGTTACATTTCAAATTTCAGAAAAATTGAATAAAAAACACAAAAATTATATCACCCTACATGGTGAGTGTATGCTGGCAGCCATTTAAACGGCGATGTGTCTAAACATAATCGATTCTGCGGCAATATGTCTGGAAAGAGTTATTAATGTGTTACAAATTGGGTCTGTCTTCAGTGATCTGTTTCTGTGGAATTACTAGGTAGCTCTCAGTCTGTCAGTCAACTCTTACGACATGCTTTTGGGTAAGCAGTGGGTCTATTCTTGGTTTCTCTAAAACAGGGCCCCCGAACCCACACAGGGAATACATTTACGAAAAATAGCACCTATGGGAGTTTCCTTGTGAATCAAATGGTGTTTTTAAAACCAAGTTGAGGTCAAATTTTCCCATAATCCGCAGTGATAGAGGTCAAAGGGTCACAAAAGGATCCACCCAATACATATACATTTGGGGGGGGGGGGGGGGGGGGGAGGCATGAATTATACATTTAATGCATCACTCTATTCATGTTTACTGATTACTGCCTTTATATATCTCTATTACAACAATTGAATTTGTAAATGGTGATAAAAAAATTTTTTACACATTTTTTTAAACTGTAAAATTAATAGTTTTTGGCGTATTTTTAGAGGAATTTGCTGGGTTATCGGTCAATTGTTTATACAGTTTCCAGGGTAAAATGCTTATACTGCATACAATACATGTTAACTGTAACAGGTTGTAGTAGTATAGAATGCTCAATTTAATGTATTTTAAGTGTACTATTTAAATAATTATGATAATCATATTGAATTATTGGATAATCAGTGGATCCCTACAAAACAGCCTGAGGATCTGGACTTCGCTGATATTTCTCTGTCTCATTCGGGGAATCAGATGCAAGATAAATTAAATATACTCGATGCAAGATCACAACAGCTAGGTCTGAAAATCCATAAAGGAAAGACAAAGATTATAAGAATAAATCAGGCAAATTGAAGTGTGGTTTCTCTTAATGGCACCCCACTCCAAGACATAGAGTCGTTCACCTATTTGGGCAGTAATGTAGATCAAGATGGGGGAACTGATAGAGATATTAAAATAAGAATACAAAAAGGCAAGAGGCTTTCATAGCACTAGGGAATTTGTGGAGGTAGAAAAAATTGTTTTAATTCTAAACTTAAAATCAGTTCTTTTGTATGGGGCGGAAACATGGAGAACAACTAAACCAATTACTAATAAATTACAGACATTCATTAACTGGTGCCTGCGCAGAATAGAGGGAATTAAATGGTATGATAGAATAACTAAAGTAGAGTTTTGGGCGAGAACTAAGCAAGCTCCAGTGGATCAAGAGGTGAGGAAAAGATGCTAGCGTTGGACAGGACACACATTAAGAACATCGGAGAACAGCAAAACTAGAATGTCTTTGCATTGGAACCCACAGGGGCATAGAAATAAAGGAAGGCCAAAAAACACATGGAGAAGAGAGCTGGAGAATGAAGTTAGAAAGATGGGGAGGACATGGGGGAGAGCTTCATGCAATAGCGAAGGATAGAACGCCTTGGCCGTGAGTTGGTTGAGGGCCTATGCTCCACTGGGCGATAGACAGGCAGAAGAGAGAGATGAGTGTGTAATGTCACATGTTGACTATGCAGACACACTGAAACAAGTAAATAAAGCTATGCTATTGGTTTCATTATGATTACAAAGGCCAGTATTGTATTTAGCATGTGTAAGTTTACTTCAGCACCTCACTCAACCTACAGGAAACATGGCACCTATTTCAAGCCTCAGAAATGTGATTTGACCTTTTATGGACAATACTGTCAACAATGAGAATAACTGTGCTAAGCAACTGTGACGACACATTTCCTCACTACTGTTCTCGGTATACAACATCTGTGTTTACATTTGATACATGTGCTTGCAATAATTGGTAAAATAATAAACATAATATATTTACAATTTACCTTGGTAGGAGTACACGACACGTCTGCCAGTGATTCGCTGCTCTGCTGGGATTATCCATTTATCAAATGATGTTGTAGCTGTACCATCACCTTCCCAACTGATTCCCAGAGTTGCTACGACACCACTGGTTAACCAAGAATCTCTGAGAATTCATAGCATGATTAGCAAAAATGAATAGTCCATTCTACTATCAGGAACAGTTGTCAATAGCTAATAAAAATAGTCGAGCAGCAAAATTAATTGTATTCCTTCTGTTCATCAACATATGCCACGTAGACAAATATGGTCATATTATACAATCACCAAAGTCTCAGATGAGGTCTGTGTCCTTGCCCCAATTATGTCATTTTGACAAGCCAGTTGAGTATTTGTATCTTTTCTTTTCTAGTGTTCCCCATCTGATTGTCCAGGTGTCACTAAGTTTTAAAGTTTATATTTCCTTTTCCCTATCCAGTTTTCCAGTTATCAAGTTTTAAAGTTTATACCTCTTTATTATATGCCAAAGAAATTGTCAGTCTAAATCTAAATTATATTATTTATTTTTCTGTTCGCCAATTGTATTCTTTAATTTTCCCCAGAAATCAAAATTTCCCCTTTGTTGAAGACCAGGTGCCTCAAAAGCATAAAATTAAAATGTACTGTTTCCCAACTGATACCTTTTACAACAGTTTTAGTGAAACTGGGGGACTGCTCCTCAAAACTAAACATACATGTACGCACATACACACACATGCACGCACACACATGCATGCACATACACATTTATTTGTTTTTGAAATTTCTTCCACCAGTCTGGAATTTTAAGTTTTTCTCCACTTTCGAGAACTGAAGCAGTTGCCAACTGATTCACTCTCACAATAAGTCTGAACCATTTAGCTGTTAATTTAAATGCACTGTGATACCTACAGTTTCTGATGTCATGCTTAACACCAAACTGTATTGATTCCAGCTGAAAATGAAATATGAAATGAAACAAACTTATTAATGAAGAGTATTTAATTCCCCCGTGTGGGTCCCGGGGCCCCATTGTAAGGAAAACAAGAATAGACCCACTGCCTCCCCAAAAGCATGTCGCAAGAGTCAACTAATTGGGGAGCTTCCTTTGAAGTCGGAGTGCATCTGCCGGAGAGGCAAGGAACTAACAGTCTGTATTCAAGAGATGAGATATGAAAAACTGATGCACACGCAACACTCAGCTTCTGGAGCAGGACTGCAGTTCAGTAGTGGACGAGCAACCAGAACTTTCAGAGTGTACAGCTGGTGAAAGCGAAGAAGAAGAAAAAGAGTATTTGAATTAAACATCAAGAACCATCTCAGCACTGGAATAGGTCTGCAACATTCACTCCTGTGTCATCATGATGCATTCATACAGGCTACTTCCATTCCATCTCTTGATGATATCCACCCACATGTAATGTCTGTCCTATTGTTTACTTCCCCTCTATATTTACACCCAGAACATCCTTTAGAAAAGCCAGTGGCCCCCTAATATGGCTGAAGTATTATCACTGCCTGATTCTGAACTCATTTAGGGAGTTGCGTATCCTTTACAGGATGTTGCAGAACCAACCCCAGCATTTTTTTTGGCTGTTGTGGTTTTTCTAGGCACATTTTACGTTCAGTAGTTTGCCACTGCTTATGAACAGTCAGCTCTCGGTACCACTGTCGAAACCAACGCAAGACAAATCGTCTGCCGTTGGGATCGACCCCGGCATCACAAAGCGCGTTCGCAATGCCTAAACAACAGGCGCCAACGTCATTTAGTAATGTTTAATAAATATCAGGCTGAACAAAACTGATACGTAGAATAATGTATAATACAATATAAGAACAGGAAATCTAACAGGGTGAACAGAAAACTATACCTGCTCAGATCATTTTGCTGAAGCCAGTTAGCAATGAACTGATGTTCATGCTGTGAATTGATACTGAGTAGGGTGGCTCCATTTTCTTGACAGAATGTGCTAGCTCTCCGGTGATCAAGTCGAGGATATGCATTAAATTTATAACATTTTCTATCGTACATAACCCAGCCACTTTCCGATGGACATGCTGCGGGGAGAAAACGACAAATAACTTTAGACGTCAATTAGCTACTTCTTTTTCTTGTGTGCTATTAATGTCATGAGAGATATGATCAAGAGGCTCGAAAAAAACAAAGAAGAACTTCTATGGATACAAATAATGCCCGTACAACTGAAAACTAAAACCACACAAGAAATGACAGAAAATTTAGAATTTGACTGCACCAAAAAAAATATGAGAATTGGTTTACAATATTTTACTGAATAAGGACAGCATATCTGATGCAGTTTTATGTTTAAACCATCTTCTGTACTGTTCACAAATACTGATACTTTTTTTTTTCAGTAGGTTTCGGATTCGCTTAGTCCTTTCAATATCTCCACAATATGGTTGACTGCGTAGGACCTGCAACACAATCTCTCACTTTGGTAGAAATCTCCACAATATGGTTGACTGCGTAGGACCTGCAACACAATCTCTCACTTTGGTAGAAATCTCCACAATATGGTTTGCGTAGGACCTGCAACACAATCTCTCACTTTGGTAGAAATCTCCACAATATGGTTGACTGCGTAGGACCTGCAACACAATCTCTCACTTTGGTAGAAATCTCCACAATATGGTTGACTGCGTAGGACCTGCAACACAATCTCTCACTTTGGTAGAAATCTCCACAATATGGTTGACTGCGTAGGACCTGCAACACAATCTCTCACTTTGGTAGAAATCTCCACAATATGGTTGACTGCGTAGGACCTGCAACACAATCTCTCACTTTGGTAGAAATCTCCACAATATGGTTGACTGCGTAGGACCTGCAACACAATCTCTCACTTTGGTAGAAATCTCCACAATATGGTTGACTGCGTAGGACCTGCAACACAATCTCTCACTTTGGTAGAAATCTCCACAATATGGTTGACTGCGTAGGACCTGCAACACAATCTCTCACTTTGGTAGAAATCTCCACAATATGGTTGACTGCGTAGGACCTGCAACACAATCTCTCACTTTGGTAGAAATCTCCACAATATGGTTGACTGGTTGACTGCGTCACTTTGGGACCTGCAACACAATCTCTCACTTTGGTAGAAATCTCCACAATATGGTTGACTGCGTAGGACCTGCAACACAATCTCTCACTTTGGTAGAAATCTCCACAATATGGTTGACTGCGTAGGACCTGCAACACAATCTCTCACTTTGGTAGAAATCTCCACAATATGGTTGACTGCAATGGACCTGCAACACAATCTCTCACTTTGGTAGAAATCTCCACAATATGGTTGACTGTGTAGGACCTGCAACACAATCTCTCACTTTGGTAGAAATCTCCACAATATGGTTGACTGCATAGGACCTGCAACACAATCTCTCACTTTTGTAGAAATCTCCACAATATGGTTGACTGCGTAGGACCTGCAATAAAGTCTCAAACTTTGGTAGAAAGAAATCTCGAAGGACACAATATGGTTGACTCCACAATATGGTTAACTGCGTAGGACCTGCAACACAATCTCTCACTTTGGTAGAAATCTCCACAATATGGTTGACTGCGTAGGACCTGCAATACAATCTCTCACTTTGGTAGAAATCTCCACAATATGGTTGACTGCGTAGGACCTGCAACACAATCTCTCACTTTGGTAGAAATCTCCACAATATGGTTGACTGCGTAGGACCTGCAACACAATCTCTCACTTTGGTAGAAATCTCCACAATATGGTTGACTGCGTAGGACCTGCAACACAATCTCTCATTTTGGTAGAAATCTAAACAAAATATGGTTGACTGCGTAGGACCTGCAACACAATCTCTCACTTTGGTAGAAATCTCCACAATATGGTTGACTGCGTAGGACCTGCAATACAATCTCTCACTTTGGTAGAATACACAAAAGGCAGGTGGGCTTGGATCTCTATATTTCTTACGCAGAAGTATGTACAGTAAATATTACTATTCAAGTGTCTCAGTCCACACGTCTTCTTCCTCATCATTTGTCCTAGTGATGCAAATGTGTTGTACCGGTTTACAGCTACGATATTTGCCCCTTTCACCGACACATCCTACTTCTTCAGACATTTATTATCCGGCTTTATGGGACATCCGCAGTCTTGTATGTGTGGTTACTTTATCATCTTCTAAAGGACCTCATACAAGGCAGCTGAATGCAGATAGGTCAACTCTAAAAAGAAGGCAGAGACAGAGCATGAGCATTCTTGTCATACAAAGAGGCATTCATAAATGCAGAGCCAATGCATGGTGCTCTAAGACTAGGCTCACCCAATGATTATAGATCCCGATAAGCAGAATCAAGTGATAAAACAGTGAATTATATTTGCATCTTAAATAAATATGATTGTTTATCTAAGGTACAGATGTACTGCAGAGAGCTGACTGAGATCAAATTAAGATGTAATATACAATAAACGATGACAGGTTACCTTGCATGTGGACAGAAGCAAAGAAACAAACTGACAGGCAAAGTAACTGTAGTCTCATTACAACAGGTGTCTGTTTAATAGCACCTGAAAAAAAAGCAATACTATATCATATGTATACTTTTCATTTTTCATAAAAAGGATACATTTTAACGGGTATATTAAACTTTATACCTTGAAATCCCCCGTGTGGGCTCCGGGGTCCCATTGTGGGGGAAACAAGAATAGACCCACTGCCTCCCCAAAAGCATGTCGTAAGAGTCGACTATATAGGGATCTTTCTTTGAAGTCGGAGTGCATCTGCCGGAGAGGCAAGGAACAAACAGTCTGTATTCAAGAGAATGAGATCTGTAAAACTGATGCACACGCAACACCCAGCTTCTGGAGCAGGACTGCAGTTCAGTAGTGGACGAGCAACCAGAAGCTTCCGCCAGTTTACAGCTGGTGAACGAGAAGAAGAAGAAGAAGAGTATACCTTGAAATAACTATAACTGACACTGCCATATAATTATGTTTGACTTTTACATCAATTAATTCTGCACTACCTTTTCTTCAGATAACTCTCTTACCCCTTTCGCCCCTAGAAACGTAAACCTATTACTCCCGATTGAACATGCTCCCATAAATACTGATTAATAGCCATTACCGCACAGCCTATTTAAAGACAGGTGACCTGTTTTTTTGGTACAATGCATTCAGATGACAATATTTAAAAAAAGGTAAAGTCGGGAGATGTGAACCAGCGACATTGCATACTGTTATAAACCATAAGTGGTCTGCCACTAGTACAGACAGCTGATAAGAAACTGTCCGCCTGTGCCACCATCCGCATGTGACTCCATAGCTACAGCGACTTTCCTTTATTTACCCTAGAGTGTTAACTCTGGTACCCATTACCTAGAGGCTGAGTCAACCCTGATCACGCCAGCAGCCTTTATTTTCTCAGTTCTTTATCCAGGTGCACATTTAGGCTGCGCTGACATACAACTTACTTTGTGAACAATTCGATCCCCACATTTTTAAAAGAACTATGCCTATGATCACAGACAATAGACTATCTATCTATCCCTCTATGCTGATGCATGCTATATCATGCACTGTAAATTATCCTGTTTCTTATTTAGACAGGCAGTTGTTTTTTTTTCTACCATCTCTAATAATAGTTGTAATAACAAAGTTACAGTAATGAGTTATAAATAGGAATAGCTGACAAATTGTAAATTTCAAGTTAGTTTGGAACCATGGATGGACCATGAATTTACAACCATCATAAATAAATTATTAGGCACTCTTCCAAATATCGGTCCCAAATTATTCACTGTTAAAAAAAATCACATTCAATGCCTCAAAAGGTCATTATATAGTTAATAATATGGAATAGGAACACTACGAACTTGTGTGTTATTATTATATTATAATTATATAATTCCATTTGAACTACTCTGGAGTCTTCGGTCCGGTAGTAACATTAAAAATTCTGCCTGTCATGCAGGTGACCCCCCCCCCCCCCCCCCCCCCTGGTAATAAATTGTTTTAGTATAAAGCCCTTAAAAGGGCAGGTTGGATGTCGTGTTGTGGTTTACAGTTACATACAGCTAGGCTGCAATATCTGCACCTTTCGTCACCAACAGCAACAGTGTTGCCAACACATCTGATTTCAGCAAAGTCCTAATTTGTCGCCTTTTGCAACATGCTTTAGGTGGCAGTGGAGCTATATTATTATTTCCATCAAACATGTGGCTCTGGAAATCACAGGACAAGTCACTGGTAATGAGAACAATGGGTCGAAAACTTACTTACTTAGTAACTAACTACTCCCCACGCAGCTTCAATGGAATGAAAACTATTCGTTCCCGCAGCACTTAGCTTAACGTCTAATCATTGGTATCCATTGAGCAATAACGGCAGAAGTGGAATGGAAACTGATGATGATGGCCCAAATGCCAAATGTTTTTACTACTTAAAATGTTTTTCGCAGTAGTGAATTCGGAAGAGTGCCAAATTATTAAATGTACCTTTTCATGGCACACAAGTTCACTTTTCATCAGCAAAAAAGATTGTATGAGACTGAAATTATGTTTGTTATAAGCACACATCTACTTGATTCAAACTCAACTCACCTCTGTGATAGTAGTCAAAGCTGCCAAATAAGTTTTTTTTCAAATGGGCTCGTGTGATCACTATTAAAAAAAAGGAAACAATGCAACGGCAACCCGGAAATGACGGACTATGGCACCAACGAATTAAAAGTATTCAAAGCTAGTTAGTATAGTTACCTGCGCCTCTTAACATGACCAAAGTGACTTTTAGTATAAGTATCGTTTTGTAAAAAACAAATCAGTATTTACAATAAACATCTTTACAAAATGTTAACAAGATTAAACATTAAATACGTTAACGCTGTTTATTGCTTACCTGTGTGAAGATTTGATAAGGTAGTCTCGGGGGAGAAAAAGTATGTTGCACACCTGAAAAAGGGAAGCTACTCTTGGAAAGTAATAGTGTACTCAACATTAACAGGTGTCTTGCCGACTGGCGTGGGCGATCATGCCTCTCCGCCATCTGCAATCTCCTGCAGCATGTGTCAGTTCGTGTGCTGACACACCTCCATGCAATGCAGCAAGACTGTCAAGAATCTTCTCTCGTTGTCTTCCTCTATCCCTCCTTCCACAGATCTTTCCAGTGGTCACATGTTCTATTTTCCCTCTTCTCATAACATGGCCGGAAAATGATGACTGTCTCCTTCTGATGTCTGTGATAAGTTGTCTTCGGGCTCCCGCCTCGTTCAAAACCTCTTGGTTGCTTTTTTTTTTTTTTTTTTGGCAGTCCAAGGTATTCTAAGCATTCTTCAGTAAAACCACATCTCTAAGGCCTCAAGAAATTGTTTGGCCTGCCTACCGATTGTCCAGAATTCACAGCTATATGTTAAAACTGGGTGTATGTAGCAAGGAAGAATTCTTTTTTCTAACTCTCAATGACAAAGATATATTGCACAAGATGTTATTCATTTTATAAAATGCAGTTTTTACCTGTCCTATTATGTTTCTTCTCAGTTTTGCATCTTCCATCTGATGTGCCCAGATACTTAAATGTCTGTACCTGTCCCAAAAATAACACCATCGACTTTTATTACACATTTAGGAATATTTCGTTTCTTTAATACCACCATTACTTCTGTCTTCCCATTATTCCAACTGAGGCCCATTCTTCCACTTTTCAACACCACAATGTCTATCATTTCCTATAGTTCTTTCTGACTTGTTGCTATCAAGACTGTGTCATCAGCATAACGTAAATTGTTTATATTGTGCCCACCAACCACAATTCCGGGCATATCAATTAAATATCGCAATTATATATTCACTGTATATTGAAAACAAATCAGGTGACAGTACACATCCTTGTCGTACGCCTCTCTTTATGCTTTGAAATGTACCTAAACAGTTCCTAATTCTTAAACCTGCTGTTTGCTGCCAATTAATATTCTTTATTATTCGTAGATCTTTTCCATCAATGTTTAATTTTTCTAGTAACAGAAAGTATTGTGAACGGCACTCATAGAAAGAAGTATGAGTGCCGTTCACAATACTTTCTGTTACTTGATTAATTCATTTCTTTCTATGAGTGCCGTTCACAATACTTTCTGTTACTTGATTAATTCATAATATTTAACGGCCTCAAACGGTTCCCCCCTCTGTTTATTTAATTTTTCTAACAGTTTGATTACTTCTTCATGCTGCACACAGTCAAATGCTTTTGTATAGTCTATGAAGCATAAGTACAAATCAGTCTTTACTTCTATAGCTCTTTCTGACAATGTCCTTAGGATGTATTTGACATTGTTTGTATCTTTTCCTTCTACAAATCCACGTTGTTCATCTCTGATTCCTGGTTTAATTTAGTTTCTTATTCTTCTCATAATTATTCTCAGTAAAATCTTAGTCATGTGACTCATAAGACTTACTGTGCGATAATCTTCACATTTTAAAGTGCCTGGTTTCTTTGGCAGAGCTATAGTGTACTAGTGTTGGCAACTCAAAAATTTATAAAAATCTGCCAAACACTAGCAAGAAAATGTCAAAAAGAAAAACTCGAAAATGTATACTGCTCGCACTGAAAGTTTGGAATGTTAATTACCAGTAATCTAGCTAAACTTCGGGCGTCATTGCCGCTTGCTATCTAAACACCGATTCTGATTCCTTTTGAAAAAAAAAAAAAATTAAAAGTTCGACCACTTTCAGTCTGCTGCTAGCTAGCCGAGGCTGCTAACAGTCTCCGCCTATATTTGTTGTCTGGGTTATTTGCGTCACTTTCGTGACTAAATTCTAAAATTTGCGCCGTTTCTGGGCTTCCTTTCGAGTCAGACCACTCGTCCTCCACCCGGTTGTTAGGTGTGCATGTCTTTCCTTCTCTTTCTTGGTGTTTCCTCTTGGTTTAATTTACAGTTAAAGTTGTCTTTCCTCGTCACTGTCGAAAAGAGTATTTTCCTTGTTTCACACTCAGCATGTATCATACAGCATAAAATGCCAACCGCGACGTTCTAAGAACTGCCCTTGTATTTATCTCGAGGTGCGACCGATCCCCCATCTGTATTCGTGAAGGTGCAGTGGATAAGTAAAGCTGTGATTACATCTTGGCTAAAACTGTAAGGTGGAAATTGTTGTCTGTACAATAGAAAGTGATAGCCTGGTCAAATAAGTATTTTTATTTACAGACAAGGCGTGTGGGTGCGTGCGCGCTAGTGTGCGTGCGTGCGGGTGTGCGTGCTAGCGTGCGCGTGTGTTTGTATGTGTATGTGTGTGTGAGCATGCATTTGTTTGGCTTTGTTTCGGTTGGGAACGAACATGCACCGGAAGGGCATAAGTAAACTGACATAGAAGTGTTTCTAACGGCTGCGTTGTTCCGTCCAAATTAAAGAGTCGTCTGGAATGCAATGATTCTGATTTAGTACATGAATGTTACGAAATGTTCAAACGCTACACTATATCTCTTCTGGGAGGGTAATCTATGATGGAGATCATTTCTAAAAATAAATATGAAAAGGATATATTGACAAATTCATCCAAACAGTTTTATCTATCGCATTA